TGCTTTTTAGGAAGATTTTAAGAAGCTTTTAAGAATCTAATTGCATCATTAAAAGGGTATCTATTGAATGTTTTAAAAGTCCCTAAGAACATTCTTAGCAATAAGGGAAGGTTCTAAGAATATTCCATTATTCCGGGTCATATCTTCTTAGAAGATTCTTAAAATCAAATTTTGCTATCAGGGGTATGACCCTCTATTAAACTCAAAACGACAAAATTATATTTAAACATATTTTTATTAGCAAATTAAATTTCGCTAATACATAATTTGACCAAATTATGCCCGATGCGACTTATATTTATAAAAGTTTCACTGCATCAACATCTGGAGAAAGCTATTATACATAAGCAGAGGCGTGCCCAATTTTTATTTTTATTTTGATTATTCAATAGGTAGTTTTATAGTGCAGCAGATTTATCCAATTCACCCAAAAATATTTAAAAAAATGTTAAGCAACATTATATATTTTTTTTGTATTTTAAAAGACAATTTATTTTCAAACAAAAAATTATTAACCAAACTTAAATATTAACAATAATAACTTTCAGATTGTTTTGTTAAAAACAAGTTTATTAAGAAAATTAATATTATTTTAACGTTTCTATTCTCAAATTATTAAAGGTTTCTTGTAGATAGGTATTTTGTAAAATTCTTGATTTTATTATTAAATAAAAACTTACCCCAGCACGCCATATTTTTTTTTCTGATGGTAAACATGTTATCCAAATTGTAAAAACCGAACCAGTAAATATTGCGCCAGAAGTCCGCAACCAACACTACACGAAACACAGAACTAGCACTTCACCGCATAAATAACTGCAAAAGTAAAAAAGAAAAAAATTACATAACCATACATTAAGTGTATATGTATATAGTAGACAAAGAAGTTGATTGAATAAATTATAGAAAATAATTCATGAATGCCTTATGTAATGGAATATTACTTGCAAGATATATTATTTTATTGCTAATAATGCTAGTGGAAATCTCAAACGTTAATTTTGCAAAATGATAAATTTCAAATAAGTTGTCAACAGTTTTATATATACATATATGTAGTTAAATACATTACTTACAAAATATTATCTGCGTTTTAATTTACGTATAGGTTTTCGAGCAATAATTCACTTAATAAATAAATATTTTGACACATTGTTAAACGTCAAAAATTTGATTTAGATTATTTAGTTCATTTTTTTAAATTGGAATCTTGTTTTTTTTATTAAGTTGGTAGCTTAAGCTACCAACTTAATAAAAAAACAAGATTCCATAATTATGCCAGTTTGATTTAGTATTTAGAAACTTTTTCTTCTTTCAATTTGCAAGTTACTGATCATTAATAGTCCATGGACAATATATACATTATAATTATTATTAAGCCACTACAAGTATTAACGTCCAGTGGCTTTGACAAAATACCCATTCAACATTGTAATAAGGGATTTTTTATTTCAGACAGTTGGCAACCCATTTAATTTTCATGTCAACGATGAGTTAAAAACTCGTTCTTCTGGTTGTGTTTATCAAAATTATATTGTAAAATGTGAATAAAACCCTTAAAAGTAAATGTAAACTGTGTCTATAGCTGTTAGAAGCATCAAAATAGACAAAACAAAATTTGACGTTTTATTTTCACTGACATTTTGACATTTCGCTCAACGTCAATGCTGCCAACCTAGTAACATGAATGAAACTACTTGTTTTTTAAGATTTATTTAATTTTGTTGATAAATTATGGTCGACATAGACAAAATATTATGAAAACCGAATATTATTGACATATTTTTATTTATTAGTCAACCTATATACGTTTTATTGTCGATAAAATAAAATACAATGCTTATCTGGTAATATAAAACTTTGCATATCAAAGTTGCACGAAAATAATATAAATTATATAATAGTTTATTATGTATCAGGTTTGATTTTAGTCACGAACTTAAATTTTAAAATAATTTTAATTAAATATTTATAGAGCGACATCTATACAAAAATAGAGTAACCTTGAGAGTGGAATCTGTATTACCGGCGCAAATGTCAAATTTTTCTTTTTTAATCTGAATTTATCCCTTAAAAATGTGTTTTTAACTGATTTTATTGATTTTTTTTATAATTACTGATTTACCACTTTTATTTTTTCCACTCCAATAATTTAAAAACCCTTCATTTTAAAAGGTGGAATAGTTAACTACTATTAAATTTTATTTTAGCAAAAGAAACTGTATGTTTAAGTCAATTATGCTCTGATAACTTCAAGTTTTTTTAAACTTAATCAAGTTATGTATGTAGATATATCTCGTAAGTAATATAATTTAATAAATGTTATGCTTGAATTTTATCCTTTGACAATAGGAGTTTGTTGATTTGTAGAACCATTTTAACCAACAATTTTAATATATTAAATTGTTACCTATGTCATGTTGAAAATAAATAAATTTGAAAAATTGTTAAAAACTGCAATTTTACTTAAATTTTATTTTTTGCGTGTTAACATGATTTTGCAAAACTAAACATGTTATTGATAATCGATTAAACGTTGTTAATGAAAAGTGAGAGGCATAAAACAAGTACAACTGATCAGTTATGTCAAGTTAATTATTTTAGTATTTAAACAATAAGTAGGTGTATATAAACTATTTATTATTCTATATTTAAAAATCAAAATCGAAGGCCAAAATTCATAAAACTTATTAACCAGTTTACGCGATTTCTTAAGATTTATAATCGATGCATCGATGGATCCATGGATTGGTGGAGTGGCCAGTGCGTTCTCCAGACCTAACCCTGTTTGATTTTTTTCTTACCAAATTGAGATAATAAAATATGTTTACATTCAATATAATTTTAACAATTATATGACATTTAAGAACTGTCAACTAACTTCAGCCCGTGACTAAAACGCCGTAAAGCCACAACTTGTCGACGTGTTTATAAATTACTAAAAAAATCAAATATATTTTGCATGCACATTTTAATACTAATTATCGCCATATAAAACATCCAAGGCTGTTTTTATTTAACAATTATCTTAATTATTTTACAAATATTTTTTTGATTTCCTTTGGTACTCATACTCATAGTATTAATTATAATTATAATTAATTCAATCGTTACAACAGCTTAAAATGCATAAATAATAAATTTAATTATTGCAAACAAAAAATTTCTCTTACAATTCCTAATATAGTAATAATAATAATAATAATAATTTAAAATTACCTAATGTTCAAGAAACCTTTTCTTCAAATAATATTGTTGAAATAAAAATATTATTATATGTCACAATTTTCGTCAACAATAAATGCAAATAAGCGAAAACCCGATAAAAAATCGCTGACTACTGTAAAAATCAGTAAAAACAATGCAAATTTATGTCAAAAATTCATTCATACGTTAAAAAAAAACAACAAATTCGCATACAATTAAAAATATCGAAGTTACACGGAATTATCTAGTTACCCTAGACTTCTGCATGCGGTACTCACCGAGATTAAAATCGAGTCACCTGTGGCACGAAACAACTGAACAACGCCGATTACCAACGAGCACTGCCAACAATCGCCGCCTTGATTTATTATTGTTTAATGTTAAATCCGTTTTGTTATTCGCAAATTTTGCCTTTGTAACGGTACTTTCACGAAAAAAATTGCACATGAATTTACATTTGCCTAGATTACTGCTCATTTTTATTTTGAATGTATTATTTTAAATTATACATTACTAATAGAAATAATTGAAGGTGTCAATTTTTTTCGTTCCACCCTGTACATTCGGAAAAATAAGTGGTTACATATAATCAGCCTTAATAGTTATTTATGTCATTAGGTTAAGAAGTAAGGCTTTTTGTGCTAAGCTCAAGGTTTGAGCGAAGCACAAAAAGGCACTTCTTGGCCGAATGGCATACAACATTTTATCTTCAAAGCACTTTAATTCAACATCAAAGCGGCCTAACCTCACTTTTTTAGAATCTCATTTATTTATTAGCTAAAGATAACATTAAATCTACAATAATTATTATTGATTTTAGAAGCAGTAATTGTTTGACAATACCTAGCTACATGATTTAAGTAGAAATGGATTTTTGCTATTACATTGAATTCAATTAATTGTTTAATAAATAGGTAGGTATCTAATTTCAATTTGTTTGGATTTTTATTTAAAAAATAGGTAGTTTGGAATGTTTAAGCTGTGTTTAACATTTAATTTCACTGAAAACTTAAAGCAAATTAAAACTTAAAGATAATTTATTTAAATCGTAGAAAAAGACTCGTGCGTTTTCTAGGTTGCCTAACCTCACTTTTTGTTTTATTTAATTTAATTTTACAATAATTTAATGAAAAATATTAAACATTAACAGTAAAACAAACAAATTAGTGCTTATTATAAATAAATTAAACCAGTTTAGTACGTTAATTTCTTAGAAAAGGATTAATTTGTCAAAACAATATCCCTAGCCAGAAAAAATCGAACTAATTACTTGCCTCATAAAATTTTTTATCGGCCTAGGCCATAACAAGGTATTTCTTTATCGAATGTTGACAACAATAAAGTTTAAATTATAGACCACGTGGAAATAACTATCTTAATATGCCCCAGTAGTAAATTTTCGAGATAATTAACAAAATATAAAGTAGTGTCGATTTTAGTTCTATAAAATTAACACCGACTTCTAAATTCTGCAGTTGTCTTATTCTTTACCCAATTTAAAAGATCATTTTATAAAATGTTAGATAATTTTGTAAACTTTGAGAAAATGTAGCAGTTTTAACGACAATTTGTATTTTGATTTATACATATGAATTCCAAAACATCGCATTGCCTTTCCTTTTATTTAACAAACTTGCTTACTTACCTTTATATTAATTATTTTCTCAATTATTTATGTAAATTCCTCAAAAAACAGCCGCAAAACATTTGGAAAAACTTGACAGTTGCCACCCCTGCATTATTTCATTGCAGTTGCAGTTGCATGCCCTGCACTTTACACGTTTAACTTTAAAAAAAGTGTGGTTAGCAAGCAAAAATGTCAGTAAACACGATTTTATTGGATTTATGCGTCGATTCAAGCGTTTTTCAAACCCAAAAGGACAAAAACGAAGTCCTCGACACTGCCGAGGGAATTTTGAAAAATCATTTGCCCGATTTAGCCCACGTTTTGTCCTGTACTCTTGTAGATGGGATGATGAGGTTTTACAAAATAAAAGAAAAGGTTCTGGTGAGTTTTAGGATGTACAGAAGCGGATTTATCACGATAAACATCGAGTTTTACACCGAAGAAAATGAAGAGCCTTTTATATCTTTTAATGTGAGTTGATTGATTATTTATTTATTAATCTAAATAAAACTACATATAAATGTAATTGTTTGTATTTTCAGTGTAGTAAACTTTTAGAGCAAAAATTAAAGTCGGGCTTAAACAGCCCTAGGTCGCGACTGTTGCCTTTTATAAAAAGAGGTGCTACCTTTGAAATCTACTATACCACATCAGGTTTGAAATATTTCTTACTCATGCATTTTATTTATTTTAATTTGCTGATATGGTAATTTTTTTGTTGTTATCTATTTAACACAGTAATTATCTATTTAACACAGTAAACTTTAAAAATTGTTTGTTACTGTAGATGAAAGACTGATTGAATATGATTTTGATAAAATGGTATTTGAGGAACAATCACCATATCAAAAAGTTCAAATAGTTCATTCAAAAACTCTAGGAAATATGCTCATTTTAGATGACTTACAAAGTAAGTTTTTTAACTTAAAATGAGAAAAAGAAAATATAAATAAACTCTTTAGATATAGCAGAATCAGATCTAATCTACACTGAAACCTTAATGTCAAAACACAAAGAAAACTATAAAGACAAAGATATTGTAATATTAGGTGAGGTTTGTTGAACACTTGATGCTTAATTCAAGCTATTTTATTCATATAAAAAATGTACAGGGGGTGGAGATGGGGCCTTACTATATGAATTACTCAAACAAAAACCTAAAAACATAATAATGTTGGAAATAGATGAAACGGTTATGAAAGCATGTTCCAAATATATGAGGTCGATTTGTGGGGACGTTTTGGACACTTATCAAGGTAAAAATTATCAGGTAAATAAATATAAATGCGTTTAAGTTTGCCGATAAAACTGTTATCTTCTTATTAGATAATTGTGGGTGATTGTATGAAGACTCTGGATACATACATAGATGAAGAAAAAAAATTTGACTATGTTTTTGCAGATTTAACAGATGTTCCAATATCTGAAGAACCATCCAGTGAACTCTGGACTTTTATTAATCTCATCCTTCAAAAATCATTTAAGGTTTTAAAGCCTACTGGCAAATTTATGACGCATGTAAGTATTTCCAAGTAATTTTGTACACTTTGAGAAAATATTTGCTTCAGTACAAATTTTTGAAGAGCAATAGCATTTTTTTCAGATTATCGGTTCAGTAATGAAAGACACAATCAAACAGTACCAAGAGTGCCTGGATAATTTGGACCCACCAGTCACATACACCATGTCAAACGCTTTTGTGCCATCGTTTGTAGAACTTTGGGAATTCTGCCAGGTGCGATTTAAAAGCGACGAAAAGAACGAATAGCAAATTTTTTTTAGGGAGTAAATAAATTGTGATTCCAAATTACTTAAAAATATTTTATTAAACTAATATTTATTACATTTTTTGCATTTTCATTGGAAAAAATTTCCATTGGATAAAAATTTACATTGAAGAAAATTTGCACTGGATAAAATTCCCATTGGATAAAATTTGCACTTGATACAATTTCCACAGGATAAAATTCCCACATGATAAAATTTCCACAGGATAAAATTCCCATTGGGTAAAATTTCCACAGGATAAAATTCCCACAGGATAAAATTTCCACAGAATAAAATTCCCATTGGATAAAATTTTCACTGGATAAAATTTCCACTGGATAAAATTCTCATTGGATAAAAGCTTTTTTTTAATTTTAGTAAATAAATTGAGATTCCAAATTACTTTAAAATATTTTATTAAACCAATAATTATTACATTTTTTCGTTTGAATATCCCTGTGCAATCCCCTTTCTCCCCTCCTCGGCCAACTTCGCATCGGTTCCGCCCAAGTTTTGCTCCAACCCCCGCCAGCTTCGCGAAGCTAAAAATCCCGCCCCGTGATCGCTGTGCGCCACTGTACCTTCGGCACGCAGAGAAATTAGGTTATGTTCGCTATCCTCCATTTTTTCGTCGTCGGTTTTATTGCGTCTAACGTTTCCGCTTAGAAGACTAACATCTTCCTCTAAATTAACCTCCAAAGAGTCCAAGTCGGAATCGTTGATAAAAGAATTGTAATCGTAGGTGAAGTTTAAGTTTTTACTGTTAACATTGAGAGCAACTTCGACGTCATATGGTGTTACTATGGGTTTATAATAATCTCTGCTTTCGTAAATTTCGTTCATAGCGCACGTTATTATGACGTACAAATCTACCTCTGGAAAATTCGCTAATTTTGCCACAGTGGGCTTACCAACACTTATAAGGTAATATTTTTTACCACACATGTTTAATAATCGTTTAATTCTCTCAATAACTTTCAAGTAATTTTTAACAGCCAAAGTTCCAACAACTATACCCACCGTATTGCTGTCTTTAATTTTTTCCATCAAGAAATACCTTCTCTTTATTATTTTTGACTCCATTTCATATTTTACAATCATTTTATTATCTACCTTTGGTTTGTAGTAGTACAAGTTTCTACAACCCATTGAAAGGGATAAATTCATTAATTTTCTATCATTATCTCCAAGAAAAACTGTTATTTTCTGATTGTTATTTACTGATTCATCTATTCTACTCACTACAACATTTTTATGTACACTAAACACTTCTTTGATGGTATCTAAAATCATCAATTTTAACTTATTTTTCAAGCTTAATAATACAATACAATAACCTACCTAAATGGCAAATATATGGTGTGTCCACTAACAAAATTATATCACTTTTATTCCCTTCGAAAGTATCGAAACTCTTTTTTAAATCAACAACATTTAAAGAACCTTTTTCGTAAATATTCATATGAGGTATATTAGCAGAGGTTATGGAAAAACATACTGCCCCAAAGTGTATTATAGCATCGGCGTTTATATGTGAGGCGGCTATATAATCTATACAACAACTAAAAATATTAATTTTATAATGAGAAAAATTGATTTAAAACTACCTTTCGTATGCAGTATCTCCAAGGATATACAACGTTTGCCCCAATATCTCCTGCAATTTTAACGCCACCTCGGTGGAATCCGGTAACAAATAGTCCGGAAATTGCAGGCAAACCTTTAAATAAACGATAAAAAACGTACAAACTCGTCAGTATAACTTTTACCTTCTTGTAGTTATTTTTCTTAATCCACTCCGCACATTTACCGATTTCGTACACATTTTCCAAGTCGGTTTGGCTCGTTTCTACCAAATCTACCGCTGTTTCGACCGTTTTTTCTAAACTAACAGCTTCGTTTGTCGAAAAACGCGTCATTTCAAAAACATTGAGATTTGTGGGGTTAGGTTTACCTGTCTGTGAATTGGAACTACTCGTGTGGCCAACGTAGGGATTCCTTGCAACTGCCAGGATGTTTTTAAACATTATAGATTGTATTTTATCCGCATTGTCTTCTTTTTAATTTATAAAAATGTGCACTATTCGTTTTTATTCTTAAATACATGAAAAAATTAACTGGAAATGTAGGCAACCGCAGAGTAATCTGGGTTGCCTAGGTAACACTGAACTGTAGTCCAAATGACTTAAGTTTTGAACATAACCTGAACAAATTTCGCTTGAAAATGTCTGTTGATATAAAATCTGAGAGTGAAGTAAAGGATTACATCAAGAATTTAGGGATAGAATACCGTTTCGGATGCTACAGCGAAAAGAACCCCGAAGGTATAACATACCACTGACAAAAATAAATTACATAACCTACTTGTTTCGGTTTTTAGTTTGTCATTTGCTGGCGGACTTTTTGGAATCGATTAAAAAAGACTACGAGAAGGCAGCGAAGGTTTACAAAAATAACTGCGACGAGTTTAAGTATGGAAAAAGTTGTTTAAAGTTCGGCACTTATTCTTTGCTCGGAAAGGGGTTACCTAAAGCAGATTTTGTCAATGCTTATGGGTATTTTGAGAAGGGTTGCAATTTAAACGACACAGAGTCGTGTTTAAACCAAGGTTTATTATTATGTACAAGCAACGATGATAAGGGGGTTCCACACGATGTTATAACAGTTAATAGTTAAAAAAATTATCAAAATTATTTAAATATTAATTATTTAATTATTTAGGGATTAAAATTACTGGAAAAAGCTTGTTCAGGGAAAAACGCGAATGCCTGCTATTACTTGTCCGGAATGTATATAGCAGGTGTACGAAAAAAACCCGAAAAAGATTCCAAGGTGGTTGATTTTGTCATACAAAAAAATATGCAGAAAGCTTTTATGTATGCAATGGACGGCTGTAATCTGGGAAATATGTACAGTTGTGCAAACTTAAGTCAGATGTATGCCAAAGGAGATGGTAATTTATTTAATGTTTATTAGTATTGAATTAAATTCTTAAAATTTGTCACCCTCTTTTGTTTTTTACTCATCCAATCCGCCATATTGGATTTATTTATCTCTATCTCTCTCTTAGCAAACTTGTGGCCAACTTCATAGCTGTGCGCGCGCAACTTCCAGTGCCTGCTTAAATTATTGTTCTCTTTGGAAGTCTGCAGTTGTGATATTTTTTACCCAATTTAAAAACTAATTATACCAAATGTTAGATAATTTCATACACTTTACGAAAATCTAAATAACTTAATATGCCCCACTACTAATTTTTCGAGATAATTAACAAAATATAAAGTCGTGTCGATTTTAGTTAACACTAACTTTGGAAGTCTGCAGTTGTGTTATTTTTTAACCAATTTAAAAAATAATTATACCAAATGTTAGATAATTTTACACACTTTGAGAAAATGTGTAGTGTAGATTGATAAAATGTGCCACCCTGATAGACTGTAAATTACTAATATCGTTTTTTGAAGGTGTTGAAAAAAGCAAAGAACTCGCAGATAGATACAAAAAATTAGCCATAGACATGCAAAAAGAAGTGGAAAATGCTAAAACGTTAACGTTCCAAGAAGGACTAAAGCCAACTTAAATAAATCTAGTCAATTTTTAGGTGTTATATACATTTTTTTAATGTAAATAATGTTGCAAAATAAAATTTATGTAATGTTTGTTTTTTTTAGTTTATTTTTGTTTTTCAGAAAATACATATTAAAATATCAAATATTTCATTTCAATAAATATTTGAACAGTATCACACAATTTGGTCTTACAGAATAATATTTTTAGTTCACAAAATCAGATCAATTGACCAAAAATATTATTTAGACTACATACTAAAAATAAAAAAAGGATCTATTTAAAAAATATTTTTTTACAATCGATTTTAAATATATACCTACTGCAAACTATTTTGTTAATAAATATCTTTAAAAGTTCAACAATTATATAAAATTTACTTTTATCGCCTTATTTCTATTAAAAAATTCACCTCTAAATGTATTAATCAAAAATTACCTAATCTTATACAGGTTGTTTTAAATAGTTGTTTAAAATTTAGGGGGATCCCCTTTTTAAAAGAAACAAACTTATCGTTTTATCTAGTTTTCTATGGGTTGTATAGAAAAAGTTTTTATACAAAAAATGTGGATCTTGAAATTTTTAACTCTCTTTGAAACACCCTGTATATATAAATATATATTTACTTGGTTTACATAGAGGTGAATTTTTAGACCCTGTATGAAAAAATATTTTCAACTCTCATTTAAGACAATTATATTTATCTATAAAAATTCCAACTTATTCAGTTTTTCAGTACGTGGTTTAACAATATTTGGCAAAGCTTCTAATTGAAATGGTCTTCTGTAGGTTGAGTCGGGGTTTATAGAAGAATTACCTGAGAAAAAATGGTTGCCTATATTGTGCATATATGCTTATTATTTATTTTTATATTCTCTCACCATTTAACCAGGGATTATTCAGTCCATTGGAATTTTTACTACCTTTACATGTTGGAGACAAAATCTGGGTTAAATTTTCCGTACTTTTGTTCCTTCTAGCGTAATCTGCAAAACCCATACCACCTGTATGTAGGTATTACAAAAAATTAATTTACTAGATTTTAATAAAAAGAATAGGTAAGAATAATGTTTTTTTAATTAAGGTCTACCATTTTTTAAATACTAAAAATACTAAATCAAACTGGCATGAGCTACCAACTTAATAAAAAAAAAGAACTACCTCGCCATGTATTGATGACTTTACTTGCGGTGAATCTTGAAGATTGACTTAACAACTCGTTGACTCTTTTGGTTGTGGGTTGAAAATAATTTTCTATAATGTCTTCGGCATCTTCAGTGCTCTTCTACAAACTCAAATTGATTACTTAAAACGCACATAATGCAATCTTCACTTACTTTCGTGCTTTGATTCAAATTTGTTATGATTAAAAGTTTTAAAACTAATTTAAAACTGAAATAATGAAAAACTACGAATTAATTTTAATATTTGTTTAGTGCGACATCTACACAGAAATAGTGTAACCAAATTGATGTTTGGAATCTGTTTTACCGGCCGTGTCAATTTTTCGAAAGTAAGTGACAGTTCTCTAATATTAATTATTTTTATTTTAAATAAATACATCAAGATAAAAGTAAAGCACATTGCAAAACTATTAATAAAGTGTGCATTTTTTTTGTAAATATTTACCTCACCATTTAAAATAAAATCATCCATAATATTTGTATTTTTTACTATTCGATTATGATTTTGTCCTTTTTTTATTAAAAAGCAGCGTGCATACAAAATAATAATGTTATAACCACTATAATAAAAAATAAATTAATAATAAATTGGATTGAATAAAAACAGAATGTTAAAAATTAATAAATAAATAGTAGGCACCTTCGCCATTTTTGCAACTTTTAAATAATATAATTCAATATTTTTCGCTAAGATTCATATCAATAGAATAAATAAATTTCAATTAAGAACTTCTTCCCTGATAGCACAGTTTATTCTAAGAATGTTTTTTAAACCTTCCAGTGAGAATATTCTTAGGATCATGCTATATTACTTCTAGTCATGTTCTAAGAATGTTTTTTAAACCTTCCAGTGAGAATATTCTTAGGATCATGCTATATATCTTCTAGGCATGTTCTAAGAATGTTTTTTAAACCTTCCAGTGAGAATATTCTTAGGATCATCCTATATTTCTTCTAAAGAACATGCTTAAAAGAAATATAGCATAATCCTAAGAATATTCTCACTGGCCTCTAGGCAGGTTCTTAGAAGGTGCAAAGTTTTGTGGTAAAAATTAATCCACTCTAAACATACCTATGCTTAGAATGTTGAGAAAGTAATTAGTATTAAATACTAAGTAAAAAACAACCCAAAATATTTTTTATAGTTATTTATCAAATTAAAACAATATTAGATAACAAAAATACTTTTCTATTTAGGTATTTTATTTTATGTTAAAAATAAATATTTATTAATTTGTATACCGATTTTTTATTTCTGAATTAACATTTTTATGTATAATAATCTTACTATAGTATATCTTCAACTTCAATCTAATCTGACTTATCCCACAAAATTTTCCAATTTTACTTTTTATGAAATAATGTCATACAACTTATGGTTCAGAGGTCAAATTGTTTATTTAATATTTTTAAATAAATATATATTAAATGTCGAAAATTTTTTTAAGGGGACGACAAATACATTTCACTTTCATATTATGACAGTGAGGCGTATTTGTCGCCTCCTGAAGAATTTTACGAATGTAGAATCCAACATATTAGAACGTGGGTATCTGACATATTTGGAAATATTCTCAAAAGCTTCCTAGAAGCTCCATAAGAAACCTTCTGAGAACATTCCGAAAACGTATTCTTAAAATGTTCTTAGATTGCTTTTTAGGAAGGTTTTAAGAAGCTTCTAAGAATCTACTTGCATCATTAAAAGGGTATCTATTGAATGTTTTAAAAGTCCCTAAGAACATTCTTAGCAATAACGGAAGGTTCTAAGAATATTCCATTATTCCGAGTCGTATCTTCTTAGAAGATTCTTAGAATCAAATTTTGCTATCAGGGTTAACATTCTGCGTAAAAATAAATTATTGCGTGTCAATATTCGAAGCAAAAATAAATTTTGAAAAGATTTTCCAACCAATCACCTTTCCCTCCTCTTCAAACGAATCGTAATGTAATCTACCGGGGGCTGTTTGTATATCAGAAACTCGGCCTACGTCAAATTTACAATGAAAAAAATATTGTTGATTAGGGCCCATTCACATAAAAAATCACGCAAATTTTTGTAATTTAGTTATTAAAAAGGGCAAAAGTATGCTTAATTATGTTGATAAAAGTTAAAAAAAACATGTCTAGCTCCCTAACAGATTATGTTTCATGTAAATAGTCCCTTAGATAATATTATAATACTTATACATATTTTAAAAAGGGTCAAATCTCATTTAACTTTTCCTAGTATACTTACGTTATTTTAAATTTTATTAAATTGTATATCATGTATCAAGTTTGATAAGCGCCATTTTAGTCACGAATTTAATTTAGGCACGAGCGTGTGCTTAATTAAATGAGTGTCTAGAAACCTGTTGATAACTTTAGCCCGTGAATAAAGCGCCATAAAGCCATATGTCTTTAAAAAATCCTAATGGAATATATTATTTTGAAAGACCCTTTTTAGATATTTAACCAAATTATTATAAAAAATACTAGGTACTTACCTGGGGGTGGCAGTTTAGTTCTTGGAAATACCATTTCTGGTAATTTATATTTTTGGGCATCATCCAACCAAACTGCCTTTTCTTTTATTGCATCCAAATCACTAAAATAAAAATAATCATTCGACTAAAAATAGGTGGATTTTTCTTCTTTATACGATTCTGCAATAATTTTTCTATAAAAATATCACTTTTTTGGTAATAATTATCTTAATAAATTAAATCTGATTTTTTAACTAATATTTAAGTTGCGCATGGTCACTTTCTACCTGCCAGCATTAAATCCTTTAATTTAAAGGATAATTGTACTATTTTTAATAAAAATACCTCATTTAAGGTAAAAAAACATTATTTTGTCAATAAATTCATTTAATCCTATAATTGAGGTATAAAAAATGTTATTTAGTTAAGTAGTTATTCATAATGGATTTTTTAACAGTGGAAGAAAAAATAGAAATAATGAAATTAATGTCTAGAGATTTGGGAATAGCTTACCTATAATTACAATCTTTCTTTAACGTCCCAGCCAACTTTTCAGAAACCTGCGTTAACAATTTCAAAGTTTTCTCCTGCTTCCTTATAGTTTCCAAGTAATCCTGTCTTTCAGTCTCAAACTCGCCTGAAATATCATTAATATCCTTCTCAAGAAGTCTAACTTTATGCCTGTACTTTCGCAACGCATCTGTTTTAAGGTTCAGCTCTTGCGAAATATCCTTGTACTGGTTCTGAAGGATTTCTCTGTCTTCGTTCTCATCTATTTTAGCTAACAAGTGAGCTATAACACTAAAAGATGATATTTCAGTTAAAATAAAGTGCACTGCATGTCTAAGTAAACAAAAGTAAACAAAACTCTAAACATTTATAAAAATCCAAGCAGAAGTCAATTTAAGTAAAAAAATATTTTGATCTTCATTTTCCTGAAAGCGGGTGTTTCTTGAAAATAACCGTTACCAGTAGGTTTATATATACATGTTTATTGGGTTTGTATTCACTGACCTTGCTCTATTTTCTGCTTCCATTTTCTTCTTTTTTCTTCTTTCCGACAACTCCCTATCGTTGGCCTTTTCTCCACCAATCATGGCCGCCTTTAGCACCTCTATCCTCTTCACGATTTCTTGCTGACTGCAAAGTTCTTTCTTCTGCTTTTCTTCATTCAATTTCATTATATTTTGCTCGTACTCTTCTTTAATGGCTTCTATCTGTTTTATCACAATTTCTTTTTCGTTTTTCTCCGATTCGTGAAGGCTTTTCAGTTTCTTCATTTCTTCCTGGTATCCCCTTAGAAGTTTATCCCTTTTAGCGTCTAGTTCCGCGTTTCTTTCGTTCTTCATTTTGATGGAGTCTTCGATTTTTATCGATTTTGTTTCTTCTGAAGGGTGGTTGCCCAAAAGGCTTTTCAGTTTCGCTATTTCTTCTTGGTATTGTCTTAGGATGGTATCTTTGGGATCCTAAATTTAATGTAATTTATTTTTTCGTTGTGTCAACTTGTTTATTTCCTTACCTCATTCACTTTAGGTTTGTTGCTAATATTTTTCGCCCTGTTGGCATATCGTAAGGTCGACAGAGTTTCCATGTAATCTCTGCTAGAAGGGCTTACGCAGGCTATCATCAACGTCCTGGTATTTCCTCCCAAAGAGTCCTAAAAAATGTACACAGTAAAAAAAGTTTCATACTAGGCTTAACTAGAGAACACTAGTTATAGCTTGAGCAGGTGTTAAATGTATATTTAAGTGTAAAGTTATATTGATGTGGAAGACTACTATCATTCCATCGCATTTGGGCGAAAAAATATATTTTAGGATTTAAAGTCTACAATCAAATACCCGAAAACATAAAAAACATTAAGAACTACAAAGGAATGTGTAACTGTTTAAGGGTCAGAAATAAAGCTCTTCTAAAAAAAAAATAAAAAAAAAAATAAAAACAAAAATAAAAAACAAAAAAAAAATAAAAAAAATAAAAAATAAAAATAAAAAAAATAAAAAAAAAAGTAGTGTGATATTTTACCTGCAGTAATCTTGTGAGTTTGGAATCTCTATAGGGAATATGTTTCGCCTTTCCATCCACCAAGGCTGATATAACATTACCTAAGGCACTAAGTGACAAGTTTATTTTTGTTGCTTCTTTGAGTCGTTCACCGGTTGCGCCAGTTTTTGCTTGTCTTTCCGAACCAGCAAGATCCACCAAGTTTAGTTTACCTACAACAACATGTCTTCATAACTTTAATTTGGAACAAATTTGAAGAAGTGATGCTAAATTTCTTATAGGTACCTTTTTTAATGCTTTCGTTATTGTTGATATGGGAAATTTGTTCAATACTAATGGTGAAAATACTGTGTGATCTTGAACTATTTTGGTTCATAAGTGTGTCTCCAATCATACGATTTTTTGAACCCATGTTCAGATAATATTCGCATTCTGAAGCGTTGTGAACTGGGTGAGAGACAAGACCTAAAAAATAATAAAAAAATTTAAAGTCTCTCTAGAGTTAATAAGACTGTATAAGACTTTTAGCAGAGAAATGGTAGGAACCTAACTGTAGCGATTAGAATAAATATCCGGAATTATTCAGAGAGGTTGTATTTGATTATTATAAAATAAAACACAAAGAAAAGTATTCATTAACATTTTGCCGGGGTGGTAATAAGCTAAGTTTATTGCATAATTACCTATATAATATCATACGATGCGCTTGACTTGCTTTTATTGTTGCCACTGTACGTGTATTTTAAGTTTCTTTTTATATACCTACGCAAATATTCATCTAACCATTGTTCCAAACAATTTTTAGACGCAATATCGATTTTCTCAACTGACCAATTAGAGCACAGCTGATCTGTCATGTGATGGCATCTTCCCGCGTATTCAAGATAGCTCTTCTGTCACTACTTACCAAGTGTTGCCGTTTGCGGGTGTTTTACTCGGAAATCGGGTATTTCGTCATGTTTGCGGGTAGAATTTTGAAGCGGGTAAAATCGGATATTTCGCAAATTTTGATCAAAATACTAATTTCCACAAGGGTATACATACCTGGGACAGTGACTCCTTCATTGGGGGTTTCTTTCAGACTTAAGTTAGGGGCAATTGATAGTTTATCAGTTGGTAGCAGCAAGTCCCTAGAAAAAGTACCAATACGTAAAAAAAATTCGATTTTTTTCTGTGTATTTACCTTATTTGTTCATTGTATATCTCCAAATAACTAACCAAAGCTAAATACTTAACCCCTGGTGTAACAGAAATGGCTTCGAAGATATGATCGAATGTTCTCGATATTACCCCTCTATCTTTTGGATCTCCATTTTTCGTGCCTTCCATTGTAAAAGATTTTCCACATCCTGTCTGTCCATAGACGAAAATTGTTGCGTTGTATCCTTCCAACACACTCTAAAAACATTTTATATACAAAAACCATCTTAGCAATTTCTTATATTTCTGCAGAAGTTTGTGTAATGTTACCTCTATGAGAGAATAGCAGATGTCGTTGTAGATATTTTCGGTGTTGGAGTCTTGATCATAAGTAGAGTCGAATGTGAATGTTTTTGGAAACGACGGACCCTCCTGGAAATCCCACGTCTCCACCATACAGTTTTTCATTCGTACCACACACTAAAGAAATAAAAAAAGAGTAATTCTTTAAGAAGCATTATACATATATATATATATATATATATATATATATGATTATGATTGAGATATCAAAATTTTAAGTTAAAATCTAATAATATTTTAAACTAACAATTTGTACTTACTTTGCAGTTTAAATCGTGTTCTTTTTTGTTCATAGGACGACATCTTACTATTACTTTTACGTTTTCCGCCATAATTTTGTTAATTAAGTCATCTGAAAAAAAAATATACAATCAAATTTATATCGCTCTTGTGAAATTGTAGGGGTAATAATCACCCCTACGTAGGGGTTGGTGTGGGGTTAAAAAAATAAAAATAAATTGTCCCCCTGGAAAAATTGAAATATTTTTATTTTGGTATTTTCCTTATTTCAATAAAATAACAAAGAAAACAAATTTTATACATATATTGTATATGGTAAATGGTTTTAATAAAGAAACTTTAAATTTTCCTACCACAATCGATTGTTTAAATATTTTGTTAATGCGTGGTCTAAAAAGCTACCAGTTAAATTTTGATGCCAAATGCAATAATATCGATTAAATAATTATAGGTTCGGGTGTTCTGTTCTACTTTTTTAATTTACATAACATTAAATACATGTTTGATGTTAAAGCACATGAATAAATATGTATGAATAATTTATTTTCATAATTTTAATTTGTATGGTAATATTTTTATGATCCCAAATAAAATAATAATAAAACATTCTAAAATGTTAATTTTTTTCAACAAGTCCAAACATAATTATTTTTTTATGAATTTTTATAACAATAAGTGTCCACATACTGAAATCGATTTTATTTGATAAATATTTTTCCACGACCTAATTTTTATTGTTCACATAATAGAAATTATTGGAGACCTAAATAAACATTGTTATGACCTATAAAACGTTTTACTATAAGTTTTTCATGAAAAAAATTTAAAATATTTTATTTTCACAAATTTAAATGTAAATGTCGTTAAATATTGTTTCAAAACAGAAATATAACTAAAGAAAACTTAATTGAAACTCGATTTCGATTGATTATTTCTTATATCATTGATTAAGAAACTCAACGCTTAAATGCTTATATAGTTACGTTAGTGTGTGTATTTTATCTAAGGGATCATGGTGAATTATCGTGTTTTAATTGTAAATAAAATTCAAGAACTAAATCGTTGCATTTTCATGTTTTGCCAAAGGATCCAATTCAGTAAGTACATTTGTTGGTGCAGAATTAACTAATGATAACTTTACCTAATATAATTTATATTTAAGTTTGGACATTTTTAAGAAATTAGTAAAAAATAATTTTTGCACAAACATAACCTTAAAATCAACCATTTTTATATTAGAGTTCTCTAAAAAACGCCGACAACTGCATTTTAAACAACAAAATATAACTACGAATTCATGGCAACATAATTAACAAATCGAGCCAGGGTTTTTTTTCGATATTTTTTAACATTCTCAAAAATACTCGTTTGTAACATAAGCGTCTGACAGCTAATTATTAAGACACAAACACAAACTCCCACCCACCACATCTTCAGTCATGTGATATAAAATCACCAATTAGAGCAAGCCCGAGCTCCACAATTCTTTCGCCTCAAGAAGGGACAAATATACGCGAAATTGCCTGATATATTAATAGTAGTAATAGGTAAATAGTTGAAGCCCTTTGATGGTAAGTAGGAGCCGCCACTGCATTAACAACTTGCCGGTTTGATACACGTAATTCCGTTTTGGGTGAAAATACAATCAAGAACTACAAACTAGGTCAAGAAAACTATTATGAATGGATTTACCCAGTTTACTTTAATAAAATAACTTATCGTAGTGTACGCTATTTGAATACTTTGCGAAAAAATCTATTTTAAAAAACTTTCTATTTTTGATATATTTTTTCAAAAGCACGTTTATAGAAAAACATCAGTACCTTGGCGTGTCACAACTCCTGAATCAAATATTTGAGTGATTTTATTTTAAAATATATTCAATTTATCTTAAATTTTTCAATTTCACTACAAACTATAAAACATTAAATAATGTATTTTTCATATTTTATCATAGATTCGAATAATAGCAATTTTTACAAAATTGATAATCTTTGTACTCACTTTTACCCGTCAGTTCTGTGTCCAATGTTAAAATTCAATATTCCTGCGAAATATTGAAGTTTAAACGTCAAGTCCTCGTTTTAACTCAAGTGTTGGTAAAAAATTACCTACAGAGCCCGCCCTTTGCACGACAGTCATCTTGAAAACAATGCAAGCGGCGAAGTTGTGCTGAATGCACGTATAGTTCCAGTCAAAATGTCAGTACTGTGGTGAGTAGTTATTTTCTTACGTATATATATTTCATTGTAATTTATATAAGGCTATATGTGATTTGTTGATGAGTAGCATCCACTAATAAAAAATATCAGTAAAATACTTAATTCCGAATTATAATCTCAAATTTGTATCCCATTCATCAGTACCGTGTCGTCAGTTCCATGCTCGATGTTTCGGTTATCTTTTTTTCGCAAACTATTTGATTTTAAGATATTTAATGTATAATATGCTAAAAGTTGCAATAAATCTTATATTTTCCAATAAATTATGTATTTAATTAGTACCCAGGTATACTCGTCACTTCCCTTGCATTCAAATTTAGAAAACACAGATATTTCAGAAACTGTTTGAAAAAGTGACTGGCCCGGTCTGGAACAGTATATTTATTACATTATCTATGTTCTCATAACAAAATACTGTCAAATAGTGTTCATAGTAGGTATATGCTTTTGTAGCAAGACAAATTTTCTTTCTTAGAAAGTTCCTAAGCAGTTTTCTCTTAAATCTTTTGAATCAAAGTGATTTTCATTTCTTTTAAGAGATTATTTTTTTCAGTCTACGTAGGTATATTCAATGCGTCCTATTACCCTCCGCAACGCATTATTTTTTCCACGTAAGTGTAATTTTGTAGGTGGTCAAGTGGAATTCCAATGTTGTGATGGATGCGTATCCCTAGTGACTACTGGCGATGTCAAGTTCATAATAGGAATTTTTATTGATGTTAATCAATAAATTTAGCCCCGTTTAGCGGCTTAGCTAACAGGGTGACCAACATACCTTGACCTCAACTCCCCAAAAAACTGACCCTTAATAAATATTATTCACCCTTTTTATGCTGATGTGTTTATGATACAAAACCATTTGTTTTAACTTTTTAATTTTTTTTCTTGTTGTGAAAACATAAGATTAAGATAAGGGTCTTTCTAGGAATTTCCCTTAAACAATCGATTATTCTTTCTTAGTTTCGTGTTAAGATTTTCAATGTCAAAGGGTATAAACACCTCATAAACTTGTTGTCTATAACATTTCTAGACCTACCCTGATAGCAAAATTTGATTTTAAGAATCTTCTAAGAATATATGACCCGGAATAATGGAATATTCTTAGAACCTTCCCTTATTGCTAAGAACGTTCTTGGGGACTTTTAAAACATTCAATAGATACCCTTTTAATGATGCAATTAGATTCTTAAAAGCTTCTTAAAACCTTCCTAAAAAGCATCCTAAGAACATTTTAAGAATACGTTTTTGGAATGTTCTTAGAAGGTTTCTTATGGAGCTTCTAGGAAGCTTTTGAGAATATTTCCAAATATGTCAGATACCCACGTTTTAATATGTTGTATTCTACATTCGTAAAATTCTTCAGGAGACGACAAATACGCCTCACTGTCATAATATGACAGTGAAATGTATTTGTCGTCCCCTTAAAAAATTTTCGACATATTAATGTAGATTTATTTAAAATAGTTTATTTAATATCTAAACCATAAGTTGTATGACATTATTTCATAAAAAGTAAATTTGGTAAATTTTGTGGGATAAGTCAGATTAGATTGAAGTTGAAGATAGTTAGGATTATTATACATAAAAATGTTAATTCAGAAATAAAAAATCGGTATACAAATTAATAAATATTTATTTTTAACATAAAATAAATACCTATAGTAAAAGTATTTTTGTTATCGAATATTGTTTTAATTTGACAAATAACTATAAAAAAATATTTTGGATTGTGTTTTTTACTTAGTATTTTATACTAATTACTAATTAGGTACGTAAGTATAGGTATATACCTTTATACGTAGTTTATGGTATATTTGACTATTATATAGGTAACTGAACTAAATACGCTTAACAGGAATATTCCTAAATGCACTTTTTATAGCAATTACTTTCTTAACATTCTAAGCATATGTTTAGAGTAGACTAATTTTTACCATTAAAAGTTTGCGCCTTCTAAGAACCTACCTATAGGCCAGTAAGAATATTCTTATAGGATCATGCTTTATTTTTTTTAAGCATGTTCTTTAGAAGAAATATAGCATGATCCTAAGAATATTCTCACTGGAAGGTTTAAAAAAACATTCTTAGAATAAAGTGTGCTATCAGGGTATTAACTTTTGAATATGGTATTTCTGGAACACCTTGTATATTAATTAGTGCATTTTGTATCATTAAAAAATAAATATCTGCTTTGTATTTATAATTATAAATAAAACATTTTTTATAATAAAATACCTATATATAGGTATCAGTCAACAGTTAAAACCACAAAGTAAATAGGTATCGCTTTTTATTTAAAAAATAAAAATGTAAGTAAAAAATATTATTGTTATCTGTATCTGTAAATCGATTTTAATGTGCACATAGCTATAATTTATATAGCCTATAAATTATTGTAAATATAGGTAAGTAGTACACATGTACTTTTTGCTAAAAATATATTAATATTTTAAATTATAATTACTAATAATTTTGCCGGAAGTCCTGACCCTCAAATTCCACTTAAAGTTCTTTTACTTTAGAATCTGATATTATTTTTGGCATAGTTATCTTTTTATATCGATATTATATAATAATTAAAAAGTAAATTATCAATAATAAATATAACTGTCAATTTGACAGTGTCAGAGTATTTAATTAAGGTCTTCAGCAGAAGTACCATTTTTTAAATACTAAAAATACTAAATCAAACTAGCTACCAACTTAATAAAAAAACAAGAAAACATTTAAACTTACTTTAAAACAGAATCAAAACTTGCACGTTGCTGTTGAGGGAAAAGAATATTTCCTCGGTTTTCACCAAATGCATCCGACACTGGAAAATTCAAACGCATCGTATCGCGCCCCCAAATTAACTGACCAATTTGACCCGACGTTTACTGCTGACCTGCGCCCTACTGCATAAATATACACAGGCCCGGATCTAGGGGGGGGCAAGCCGGGGCACTTGCCCCGGGCGGCAACTTAGGGGGGCGGCAAAATGAACCTCTTGATAATATAAATTTTTAGTTTTACATTCCCATTTGTATTTATAAAAAAAAATACTTATGTACTTACTACATTTAAAAATCTATTTGGGTTCCCTTTATATAGGGTGTGAACACAAAAGTGGTTGTACACCTTTTAAATTTCGCGGTGGTTTAGAGAGCGGAAACGTCGGTGGCCACCGGTCGGCCCAAAAAGTGTGATAGTACGATAGTACGGGTGTAATTCGCCATACAAAACAAGGTTATCGAGCTATTGGGTAACGCGTGCAGAGACCAACTTTTCCAAAAAATTAAGGAAGCAAAATATTTTACCATCATGTTTGATTGTACAGTGTACAATGTATACCTCGCACACCGAGCAAATGAGTCAAGTAATTCGGTATGTCGAAATTGATACTGAAAGTTGTTCAATTAAAGAAACCTTAATTGACACGAATATTTGACCAGTAAAATTCTGGAGAAGTTGAGAAACGATGGGTTAGATATTCAGCAGTGCCGTGGCCAATCTTATGATAATGGCTAAACATGGCGTAAAGGCGTTGAAGCAAGAATTTTGCAACAGAATGAACTGGCCGAATTTGTGCCTTGTATTGCGCATTCGTTAAACCTTGTGGGAATGCATGCCGCGTTATAACGCTATAGGCTATAGCCTCTACAGAAGCAGTAAAATTGTTTGGAGTGGTCCAGTCAATTTTTAACTTTTTCGACAAGTCGATGGTGTCTTTTAAAGGAATGCACCAAGACAAAGCTGCAGGGCTCTAGCCAAACCAGGTGGTCTGCAAAGTATCAGGCCGTAACAGCTCTTACCAACAACCTTATAGATATTGTTGGAATATTGGAAAAACCTAAATTCGATTGACCTAATGGATGGGCTAATTCGAACATTAAATCGAATGCGGAAGACACCGATTAAAAATTGGGAAAAGGAGTAAAAGTTAATTGAAGAAAAAATTAATATGGAACCGGTTTTGCTATCCAACGTGTACCCAAAAGAAAAAGAATATTTGATGAGGGTTCAGAAGATGAATCAAGGATGTTAACTGTAGATCAGAATTTTACGAAAGATCTAAATTTAGTATTTGACAGACTGGTAACTAAAATTTTTACCAGAATTAAGAGTACCAAGACTCTTAATTCCTACTTGTCATTCTTGAATGGAAAAGAACTTTCAGAGGAACTGAAAAAACATGGTCTCGATCTTGCTTTAAAATACAGCAAAGATTTAAATGCCACAGATTTTTGTCAGGAGCTGGTTGTCTTTCAGGACCAATTTTTAAATATATTTAAAAATGCCAATATAACTACAGAAATAAGTGGTTTAAGTTTGTTGCCGAGGATTTAAATCCTCGGCATAATTATGCAAATAATTTGGAAGAAGCATTTCCAAATATTTGTATTGCGTTGCGCATATATTGTACACTCCCAACAACTTCCGCCAGTTATGAAAGAAGTTTTAGCAAGTTAAAGCTAATAAAAAAATATTTGCGTTCTTCTATGAGCAACGAAAGATTATCAGGACTTGCAATATTGGCAATTGAAAATACCTTTGCACAATCAATAAATTTTAAGATTGTAGATGCTTTTCAGAAAAAAAAGCACGCAAAATTAGTTTTTAATGTTGTGTAGGAATATTAAAATAAAGTGTACTTTTTATTTGTTAAATCTTACAATTGAGTTTTATTTAAGTAATCTCCAAAATGCAATAAAAAATAATTGGTTTATCATCATTGTTTTAAAAAATTCAAAGGGGGCGGCAAATTTGACTTTTGCCCCCCATTTAAAAACTTCTAGATCCGGGCCTGAATATACACCACTCATGAAACACAAATATACTTTGGTAAACATTCAATTCACGCTACGAACATTTTAATTATTTATAAATATTTAGAAAATTTAATAACTAAGCACAAAACATGTTTAATTTGGTTCTTTAAAGTAATAAAATAACATTTTAATGTTCTTTTCGAGGTGGTCTTGGAATATCTAAACGCCGGCCCTGTTCTGTCAGCTGTCAAATAAAAGTCAAATTTGACATTTGAACGTGGCTAAAATCGCAATCCGACATAAATTAGCATTTAATTCGATAAATCCAATGAACAATCTGTGATATGTAGTAAACATTACGATCAATCCGTCAAAACAAGTTATTTATAAGTTAAACCACCAAATAAAATATGCCAACGACCTGAAAACATATCTGTGTTTATATTGATTTATTAATCTATTTGCAGCGAAAAATGGCTTTAAAAAAGGTAAAAGGCAATTTCGAACGTATGTTCGAAAAGAACTTGACTGATTTGGTGCGGGGTATCCGAAACAATAAGGAAAATGAGGTTTGTACAAATAATTTGAGGTTATGTACATGTTAATCCTAAATTATGCTGTTTTAAGGCAAAATATATATCTCAAGCGATGGAGGACATCAAGCAGGAACTCCGGCAAGATAATCTAGCCGTTAAGAGTAATGCAATCGCCAAATTAACTTATGTGAGTGAGAAAAATGTTTCTACGAGTTGATAACCATTATTTTTCAGTTACAAATGTTGGGTTATGATATTTCCTGGGCAGGATTTAATATAATCGAAGTTATGAGTTCCAATAAGTTCACATTGAAGAGGATAGGTTATTTGTCAGCCAGTCAATCGTTTCACTGTGATTCTGAGGTTGGTGTTGTTTTATGTGTTTTATTGGTAAAATAATCGTGAATTTTAGTTGTTGATGTTAACCACAAACATGATTAGGAAGGAATTAAATTCTCAAAACCAGTATGAAGCTGGTTTGGCTTTAACCTCTTTAAGTTGTTATATTAGCACCGATTTAGCCAGGGACTTGTCAAATGATATTTTAACTTTGGTAAGTACTATTTGACCATACACACAGCATTTCAATGTATTGTAAACCAACAAATTTTGACAATACAGTCGTGCCACTGTTATTATGTTTTTTGTATTAAAAAGAAATTATATCTTGAATGTCATATACATTGCCTTTCTAAAATTAAGTTTTCTGCCTTAAAAAGGGAATTTTCAAAAAAGTGAAAATAAGTAGGTACCTATAATTTAAAAAAAATATGCCAATTGTTTTTTTATTTTGATATTTTTTTATGAATTCATGTGCACCATAAGCCTACACATTGTTGCCAAATTTCAAGTCGCCATCTGTTACAGATTGAGAGTTATTAAAGATTTTGTAAAATAAATCTCGAAAGAAAAAAAAAATTTTTGAAAAAATAAATAAAAACTCAATAAATACAAAAGTTTTATGCCCTTAAAGCTCTAATATACCCTTCTGTATTTATTTACTCATCCAGCTATTAGCTTAAGCAATGATTAGAAAATTTAGCACCACAACCACAAAATTAATTTTTTCATCGGTTTTTTTATTTCTGTTTACTCAGATGAAATTAGGACAAGTTCACAGGTTAAACTTTAAACATTCAATTTGTGTAAATAAAGTTAAGATATTTACAATTTGGGCCCATAACCTAAAATATGAAAGAAATGCACTAGATTTTGTAAGAATTTACCTTCATAACAAAAATGACATAATAAACAATTAATAAAAACGCCAAATTAACAATTTGCATTGTCAATTTTGTCATTTTTGTAATTAAGATAAATTTAAACAATATCTGGCAACTTTTTTTACAGAATAAATTAAATTAGGCAACCAGATAAGCCTAAAGTACATTAGTTACATTAATTACATTATATTCACCACGAGTTTGTTTGATATTAAGACAGTTTACAATAAAAGCGTTCATTTTATACTTTGACCATCATACCCTTATTTTTTGTGGATGCAGTGTTAATCTCACATAAATATTGGGTTATGAGTTATTTTGTTGTAGCTCAGTTCAACCAAACCTTACATACGTAAAAAAGCTGTTTTGATGATGTACAAGGTGTTTTTAAAATACCCCGAGGCATTAAGGCCAGCTTTTCCAAGGCTGAAAGAAAAATTGGAGGATCCTGATCCAGGTAAAATTAATTTTTTTTTTGTAAAATTTTGTAAAAAAAAATTTTTTTAGGAGTACAGTCTGCTGCAGTAAACGTCGTTTGCGAGTTGGCTAGAAAAAATCCGAAAAATTATTTGTCGCTAGCCCCGGTATTTTTTAAGCTAATGACCACCAGTACAAACAACTGGATGCTGATCAAAATTATTAAATTGGTAAGTTTGATTGAAAAATTAATATTCGATAAATATACGGGGTGTTTAGATGAAAAGTGAACCTAATTTCTCTAAACATGCCGTTAAAAAAAATAACAAAATTGAATCTTCAGTTTGGGCGTTTTACAATGGTGGAGCCCTTGATAGGCCTAAAGCTTACCACGCCACTGGTTAATACGATAGCCAGGTACAAATTCCATCGAAAAAATGCTTTCGCTGTAAATTTTACCGATTTAGACCAACATTTTTTTTTCTATAGGAGTGTTGCCATTTTTTCCCGTGTAAATATGCTTTTTGTTGTAGTTTGGCGCCCTAACTCCTTTAGAGCCTAGGCTAGGAAAAAAATTAATAGAGCCTCTAACGAATTTAATTCACAGGTAAATATTTTGCATTTTTTAAATTGGTTTTCTTGGCCTAAAAATCTCCAAAAATAAAATTTTATCTTGGTTATCATAAATTTTTGTATTCGCTAAAGAAGTATCGCTAGTAGCGCCACCACTCGGCTGTTATCATCGTAACAAAAGTACCACTTTTAATTATCAGCTGTCAAACGCTTATGTTACAAACGAGTGTTTTGGAGAATAAAGCCGGAAAATGTTAAAAAATATCGGAAAAAAACCGTGGCACGATTTGTTGTGTTGTTGGGTGTATTTCGAGCGGAAATCTTTGGTTGAGTTTTTACCGGTTTTCCAATAAACAGTGTTAATCTGAATGAAGAAATAAATTGCATACAGTCCCTGTAAATATAAATTGTACCTATTAGATACAATAAATACACATGTACTGATTAACGTGAAAAGGGAAAACATTTCAATTCAGTAAAAATCGTCAAACAAATAAGTCGTCTAAATTTAAACAGCATTTAGCATTATTAAAAGCGTTGATTAAGAAAGTCTCCACTTAACGGTAAAATACCATTATATTATGTATTATATGTAATATTATGTTGCCATGAATTCGTAGGTATATTTTGTTGTTTAAAATGCAGTTGTCGGCGTTTTTTAGAGAACTCAAACATAAAAATGGTTGATTTTAAGGTTATGTTTGTGCAAAAATTATTTTTTACTAATTTCTTAAAAATGTCCATCTTAAATATAAATTATATTAGATAAAGTTATCATTAGTTAATTCTGCACCTACAAATGTACTTACCCAATTGGATCCTTTGGCAAAACATGAAAATGCAACGATTTAGTTCTTGAATTTTATTTACAATTAAAAACACAATAATTCACCATGATCCCTTAGATAAAATACACACACTAACGTAACTATACAAGCATTTAAGCGTTGGGTTTCTTCTTCAATGATATAAAGAATAATTATTCTTATAATTATATGATTATAATCAATCGAAATCGAGTACTAAACCAGTTTTTTAGTTTTTTCCTTGCAACGTAAAACACAAATAACGTGCGCGATTTAGCTGTGCAATTGAACAAAATTTGTCTCTTTGTGAAAAAACTACCTATTTATTTAAAAATGATGTACTATGCTCCACACCTCAAAGTCCCACCACGTGACCACGTTCGGAACGCAGTCTTTTAAAAATTTGGCATTTAAGGCTTTTCAGGTTATGTATCTGTCAAAGTATAGTCAACGAAAGAAATAATATTATGTTTAGGCGTTAAAAATGTATAAATCTTTATAACATTACAATAACAATGGATGGTTTAAGAATTTAAGAATATAAATACTGCATTTAATGAAATTCTAAAGTGTATGGTGCCAAATAAGTAATATTTTTGTGCATTTGGTCCAAATATCTGGTTTTCTGCATAAAATAATTTTAACTAAACAGCATTTATTTAAAAAAATCTAGCTTTTCTATTATGGAATAAGAATATCTGTATTAAAGGTAGGTTAATATATTATAACAAAAATATCATCTAATTTTGTAATTTTAAGGTTAGAAAAATTTATTTTGACCAAAATAAATAAGTATTTTGGATTATTTAAAAGACAGTACCTATAATATATTATTAAAAATGTGGTAGTTTTTATTATCCAGCTTAAAGTGTACCTACATAAAGTTTTGTCAATACAAATAGTTAAAAAGCTTCGACTGAATTTGATCTACATAAAAATCTTTATAATTTTAATATTTTAATAATTCACATGTCATGGAAGTAATAAATATTTTCACATTGCAAGTTACTCTAAAAATTGTTTGTTTTCTTATAATCTAACTTAAAGTAGGTATGCCGAGAAGTAAGCACAAGTTTTGTCGTTAGAAATATAAAAGCTTCAATTTAATTTGAACCATATTCAACAATTATTTAGTATACCTATATTTATTTATGACCATATTAACACACTCTTCCAAATAATCCACTTATTTATTTTGGTCAAAATATATTTTTCTAACCTTAAAATACAAAATTAGATGATATTTTTTGTTCTAATACATTAACCTACCTTTGATACAGATATTCTTATTTCATAATAGAGAAGTTAGATTTTTTTTAATAAATCTTGTTTAGTTAAAACTATTTTATGGAGAAATTTAGACCCAATGCACAAACATATCACTTATATTGAACCTTACACTTTGGAATTTCATTAAATGCAGTATTTATATTCCTAAATTCTTAAACCAACCATTGTTATTGTGATACTATGATGATTTATTAACTTTTAACGCTCAAACATAAGCGGTAACACTATAAATATTATTTCTTTCATTGACTATACTTTGACAGATACATAACCTGAAAAGCCTTAAATGCCAAATTTTCGAAAGACTGCGTTCCGTACGTGGTCACGTGGTGGGACTTTGAGGTGTGGAGCATAGTACCGTATGCTTTAAATGTATTGTTGACAATTCTTAAATTCACGCAATGCTTTTGAAGTCCACCAGATGGCGCGCGCGTTGCGAAAACCCGATACTTCTTTAGCGTATAATTACATTTATCAGTCCAGATAAAAAAAAATGTGTTTGTTATATTAATTATAAAATCTGTTTTAAGCACTTCGGCTATGAGTTTGCTTTACGAATGCATAAACACGGTGATAGCCGTTCTAATAAGCATATCCTCTGGAATGCCGAATCATGCTGCAAGCATACAACTGTGCGTTCAAAAATTGCGAATTTTAATCGAAGATTCCGACCAAAATTGTAAGAAAATCGCTCGATATATTATTGAAAAAAAACCAAATCATTTAATTTACATTTTAGTGAAGTATTTAGGCCTGTTGGCAATGTCTAAAATCCTCAAAACGCACCCGAAGAGCGTTCAAGCTCACAAGGACCTAATTCTGCAATGCTTGGAGGACAAAGACGAGTCCATAAGGCTTCGCGCTTTGGACTTGTTATATGGGATGGTAACAATTATTCTACCTTAGACTGGGCCAAAAAATCGACTATTTTTTTTGTAAAGTATATCGAAAATATCGCAATTTTAGATTTTTTTTTCCTGAGCGAGTTTTTGTCTCAGAACTCCCAAACCATTGAGTTTAACAAAATTGACTTAAGTATATTTTTTGAAGAAAATTGAATGCTCTACAAAAAAGGTTTGATTGGAATTTCCCGTCGGATGAACCGTTTTCTTACAATCATGCCTTAAAAATTGGTATAGTTTTACAATTTGATCTTTTAACTTTGGAATTTTGTAATTCATGTAAAAATCAGTACCCGGAAAAAAACGATAAATATTCTTATGGGAAATCAAATGCCCTACAAAAAAAGTCTTATCATTTTTGGCTAAATTCACTCCATCAAAAGTTATTCAAGGTTAAATTTGAAGTCAAAACGAAATTTTAACCTTGAATAACTTTTGATTGAGTGAATTTAGCCCAAAATGTTGAAAGGCTTTTTTTGTATGGCATTTGATTTCCCATAAGAATATTTATCGGTTTTTTATGGGTACTGATTTTTACATGAATTACCAAATTCCAATTTAAAAGATCAAAATGTAAAACTATACCAATTTTTAAGGCATGATTTTAAGGAAACGGTTCATCTGGCGGAAAATTTTACTTTAACCTTTTTTGTAGAGCATTTAATTTTCTTAAAAAAATATTTCGAGTCAATTTTGTTAAAATCAATGGTTTGCGAGTTCTGAGACAAAAACCTGCTGAGGAAAAAAAAATTAAAATTGCGATGATACCCCTCTTAATATTAATATTATGGACTCAAACTTTCACCATAATTTTTTTTTGTCACCCCAAGTAATATTTTCGATATACTTTACAAAAAAAAATAGTCGATTTTTTTGGCCCAGTCTATTGTAAAAATGGCTTGCAAAATATCGGTTTTATTTTAAGGTTTCCAAAAAAAATCTGATGGAAATAGTGAAGAAGCTGATGATCCATATGGACAAAGCAGAAGGCACCATATACAGGGATGAGCTGTTGAGCAAAATCATTTTGATTTGCTCGCAAAACAATTACCAGTTCATCACGAATTTCGAGTGGTACGTCACTGTGCTGGTGGAAACTGCCCAGTTGGAGTTTGGGTCAAAACAAGGTAGCCTTTTTAATATTTTAGCCTCTGGGACACGTATTAGAAGTGTACAACAGTTCTACACAATAAAACGTAAAAATTACGTAAAAAATTTATTATTGTGGTTCATGAGGGTACATTGAGGGTGCATTGAGTTTCAATTATAAGGTTTTTAAAAATTTAGTAAATGTTAAATAACTTAAAATTGTTTGACAAATTGGGCATTTTAGAAATTTAAAATTTTTGGAAATTTTGGATTATGAATTTTTATAAATTTTGTGAATTTTAAAATTTTTGGAGATTTTGGATAAATTCAATTTTTTTATAATTAAAATTTAAAAAATGTTAAATGAATTAAAAAAAATATATTTTGGAAATTTGGATTATTTTTAAAATCAAATCGATTATGAAAGTTTTAGAATGTTTTTATTTTTTAGAAATTTTCAAAATTTTAAGTTTTGGAAATTAAATATTTTGGATATATTGAAATTTTTATAATTTTTTTATATTTTTGAAATCAAATCGTTTATAAAAATATTCAAAATTACTGTTTTAAAAATTTTGGTAATTTTTGAAATTCAAAATTTGTCTATTTTGATACGGAAATTAAAAAAAAATTAAATTCAGTAAATTTTAAATAATTTGGATTTTTTTTGACATTTTGGTTTTTCGGCTGAAGGACTACGGTCAATAGCCTTTGAACTTGGTTTTAGTTCAATAAAGCATTATTATTATTAAATATTTTTAAATTTTTGATTTTGAATTTCGTAATTTTGAAATTTATGGGGATTTTGGATATATTGAAATTTTTATAATTTGTTTTATATTTTTGAAATCAAATCGTTTATAAAAATATTCAAAATTACTGTTTTAAAAATTTTGGTAATTTTGGAAATTAAAAAAAAAATAAATTCAGTAAATTTTAAATAATTTGAATTGTTTTGACATTTTGGGCATTTTAGAAATATAAAATTTTGGATGATTCACATTTTTGTAAATTTGATATTTTTTGAATTTTGTGAATTTTTAAAATATTGGAGATTTTGGATATAGGGCCATTTTACAAAACTGTTTTTATAAAAAAAATGGTAGGTAATTTATTATATAATATTTTGTCCTCAAAATTGTTAAACATATTCTTCTTTTATTAGGCTATGCATTAAATAAAAAATCGCAAGAAATATTTTATAAAATAGATAATTTTAATAATTGACAGGTGTGGACAAGATAAATCTTTTTTTTGTCCTGTCCACACCTTTCAATTATTAAAATTATCTCTACTTTTATAAAATATTTCTTGCGTTTTTTTATTTAACGTATAGTCTATAATAAAAGAAGAACATTTTATAATTCTTTTAAAATTTTCCAGATTTTAAACAACATAAAAAAATACATTTTGGAAATTTTGAATATTTTTGAAATTAAATCGATTATGAAAATTTATTTTAAGTTTTTAGAAATTTTCAAAATTTTTGAAAACAGATCGGAAATTTCGTAAATTTGTAAATTTTAAATACTTTGAAATTTTTGTCATTGGAAAATTTGTATATTTTGAAATTTTTGATAAATTTTGTTGAATTTATTTTATAAATTTTCACATTTTTGTAAATTTTGAGTTTCTAAATTTTTGTAAATTTTTAAATGGGGATTTTGGATATATACATTTATTCAAATTATTTTGATTTGTTTTATATTTTTAAAATCAAATCGATTTTGAAAATATTGAAGATATTGAAATTATCGGAAATTTCTTAAATTTTTTAAGATTTAAAATTTTTGGAGATTTTTAAATTCATGGAAATTTCGAATTTTGATATGGAAATTTAAAAAAATTTAAATGTTAAAATGTTTTGAAATTTTAGAAGTTAAAATTTCAGGAAATTTGATAATTTCACATAATGTTCACATTCTTGGAAATATTGTGTTTCTGAATTTTTATAAATTTTGAAATTTTTGGAGATTTTAGATTTTTTTTATTATAATGGCGAAATCTTTACTTCTCAACTGTTTTACCGGAAATTTCCTTTTTTTTAGGTCACGTTATAGCATCCCAAATAATGGACGTTTCCATTAGGGTGCAGGCAATCAGATCTTTCGCTGTCGCCGAAATGGCTCAACTTCTCGACGTGTATTCCTCCACATCTCAATTTACCATAATGCAGGAGGTTTTGTATGCCGCCGCGTGGCTTTGCGGGGAGTTTGCGAGGTGAGCAAATACACTCACAGGCAAAATAATCGATCCACACAAATTTTCGATGAATTTCAATCGCAAATAACTTTTTTATTTGATGTCGGATTTAAACGAATATTAAAGAATATTGTAGATAAATTAATGGACAATCGCTCACATTTTAAAAAAATACTAAAAAATAGACGTACGTTTATAATATACAGGTTTAAACAAAAAGATGTTTTTTACCATAAGTTTAAGACACTCTGTAGAGTGGCAAAACCTTATATTGTTCTAAATTAAGTTTTATTTATCAAGTCACATCTATTTTTAACAGTTTTGTTTTTGGTTCACCTCGATATATTTATTTTTGTGGAAAATATGGATTTTTTTTTAAAACATTGCAATTTCCAATATTTTTCCTGTATGAAGAACTAAGGTTGCTATGGTCCATCCATAGCCTATGGAGGATGACAGTGACAGTTTTGTTGAATCATCCCATACTTGGACATGTCATATACAGCTTTCAAAAGCTATCAAATTGTTTTTTGCAAATTAATGTTTAAATTTTGAGGTGTCTTCTTACTTTAAAAAATGGATATGTCTCCCACTGATGTTGCCAGAGCCATTAATTTAATCCAGGATGGACGGTCACAGTAATACGTGGCAAGTGTTTTAAACGTCACAAGAAGTAAAGTACAAAGGGCAACATCAGTCGGAGACATTTTTAAAAGTAAGAAGACACTCAAAATTAACACATTAATTTACAAAAAACAATTTGATAGCTTTTGAAAGATGCACTGTCATCCTCCATAGGCTATGGATGGACCATAGCAACCTTAGTTCTTCATACAGGAAAATATTGGAAATTGCTTTTTTTTTTTTTTAAATCCATATTTTCCACAAAAATAAATATATCGAGGTGAACCGAAAACAAAACTGTTAAGAATAGATTTGACTTGATAAATAAAACTTAATTTAGAACAATATACGGTTTTGCCACTCTACAGAGTGTCTTAAACTTATGGTAAAAAACATCTTTTTGTTTAAACCTGTATATTATACACGTACATCTATTTTTTAGTAATTTTTTAAAATGTGAGCGATTGTCCATTAATTTATCTACAATATTCTTTAATATTCGTTTAAATCCGCCATCAAATAAAAAAGTTATTTGCGATTGAAATTCATCGAAAATTTGCGTACGTTCAAAATTGAAAATCTTTTTTGCAGCGAGCTGAAAAATCCCGAACAAACCCTGAGATGCATGCTGAAGTACAAGGTGCTGCCGCAGCACATAGAGTCCGTTTTCATACATAACATAGTGAAGCTGTTTGCGAACATCATGCTTAAATTGGAGACTGAAGGTCGTTTCGTGGAGATCGACGTACTGGCCGATTTGATAGCGGAGAAGATAAACGAAAGCGTAAAATCTGCCGAGTTGGAGGTGCAGGAAAGGGCCAGTACGACCCTGATGGTCATCGCTTTGGTCAAAAGTGAGATTGAAAAAAGTAAGATTTTTGTTTCTAAAAATTTTTTTTTTGTGGAATTTTAGCTCAAAATTAGTGTAAAAATCTTGTAAATTAAAAACAAAAATGAAAGTTTGTAAATTTTAGAAATTTTGAATTTTTATAAATTTTTTGAATTTTGAAATTTTTGGAGATTTTGGGTATATTCAAATTTTTATAATTTGTTTTCTACTTTAAAATTTAAATCGATTTTAAAAATTTTCATGGTTTTGAAAATTTATGTAAAATTTATATATTTTAAATATTTTGGAAATTTTTGATTTTGGATTTAAGATGCATATTTTAAAATTTAAGATACACATTTTGGGCACTTAGAAATTTAAAATTTTTGGAAATTTTGGATTATTCACATTTTTGTAAATTTCATAATTTTTGAATTTTTATATATTTTGTGAATTTTGAAATTTTTGGAGATTTTGGATATATTCTAATTTTATTCATTTGTTTTCTACTTTTAAATTTAAATCGATTTTAAAAATTTTCATGGTTTTGAAATTTTTGTAAATTTAAATTTAATAAAATTTGTGTAATATTTATATATTTTAAAATTTTTGATTTAGGAAATTTAAGATACATATTTTAAAATTTAAGATACCCATTTTGGGCATTTTAGAAATTTTGGATTATTCACCTTTTTGTAAATTTCATAATTTTTGAATTTTTATATATTTTGTATATTTTGAAATTTAAGATACACATTTCGGGCATATTAGATATTGAAAATTTTTGGAAATTTTGGATTGTTCACATTTTTGTAAATTTCATAATTTTTGAATTTTTATAAACTTTGTGAATTTTGAAATTTTTGGAGATTTTGGATATATTCTAATTTTTTAAAATTTGTTTTATACTTTTGAAATCAAATCGATTTTAAAAAATTTCAAGATTTTGAAATTTTCGTAAATTTAAATTTACGAAAATGTATGTAAAATTTATACCTATTTTAAATATTTAAAAAAATTTAGAAATTTTGATTTTTTTAATTTTGTAATATTGAAATTTATGGAGATTTTCGATATATTGAAATTTTTATAATTTCTTTTATATTTTCAAAATCAAATCGTTTATAAATACAAAATTACTGTTTTAAAAATTTTGGTAATTTTTGAAATGAAAAATTTTTTGCAATTGGAATTTTTAAAAATTTTGGAGATTTTAAAAAGTTCTTGGAAATTTAGAAAATTTTGGCAATTTTGTTAGTAACTTATAAATTTTAGAAATTTAATTTAATTTTTGAATTTTTTTGTAAATTTTGTGAATTTTGATTATTATCATTATTATTAGGTATAATTAGTTTTATATTTTTGAAATCAAATAGCCTTTAAAAAATTTCGAGATATTGAAGTTTTTGTAAATTTTAGAAATTAAATTAAAATAAAAAAAATGCATTTTGGAAATTTTGAATATTTTTGAAATTCAATCGAGTATTAAAATTTTGTTTTAAGTTATTAGACAAATTTTAATAGTTTTGGAAATTTTTGAAACTTTCGAGATTTTAAAATTATCGTAAATTTCGTAAATTTGTTGGAAAATAAATTTTTTTAAATTTATAAATTTTAAATATTTTGAAATTTTGTTAATTTTTGGAGATTTTAAATTTTTTGGAAACGGTTCTAATTTTTGTAAATCGCAAATTTTTTAAAAGTTAAAATTGTAAATTTTAGAAATTTTGGATATTTTGATAATTTCACATTGGAGATATTGAGTTTCTGAATTTTTACAAATTTTCGTAAATTTTTATAATTTTGGAAACTTAAAATAAAAAAAATACATTTTACAAACAGAATATTTTGGATATGAATTATAGAAATCTTGGATATTTCGATAATTTTTGAGATTTTAATTTTTGTAAATTTTAAAAATGTTGTAATTTTTAAACTTTTGATAATTTTTTAAATTTTAAGTGTATTTTTAGAAATTTTGAAAATTGTAGATTTTTAAAATTTTTGTGAATTCACAAAATTTAAAAAAATATTTCAAAATTTATAAATCCTTGAAAAAATTCAAAATTTTAGTTTTTTGGCGATTTTAAAAATGTTGATAATTTTGTAAATTTTGGATATATTCAAATTTTTTTGATTTTTACTATATTTTTAAAATCAAATCGATCTTGAAAATTTTGGAGATTTCGTAAATTTTTTAAAAGTTAAAATTTTTGGAGATTTTTAAATTCATGGAAATTTTGAATTTTGATATGGAAATTTATTATATTTTAAAATTTTTGGTGATTTTGTAAATTTTGGGTATTTTGATAATTTCACATAATGTTCACATTTTTGGAAATATTCAGTTTCTTAATTTTTATAAATTATTATAATTTTAGAAATTTAAAATAAAAAAAATACATTTTACAAACAGAATATTTTGGATATATTTTAATTTTTGGGTATTTTAAAAATTTTGGAAATCTTGGATATTTCGACAATTTTGGAGATTTTAATTTTTGTAATTTAAAAAAATGTTGGAATTTTGAAATTTTTTATAATTTTGAAAATTTTAAATGTATTTTGTAAATTTTGATTTTTTTTGGAAATTTAAAATTTTAGTTTTTTGGCGATTTTAAAAATATTGATAATAATTTTGTAAAGTTGAAAGATTTTAGAAATTTTGATTTTTTTGGTAATTCTAATCTAAAAATTTACAAAATCGAAAAATTCAAAATTTTTTGGATTAATTTTTTCAAATAATCAAATTTTTGGGCATTCACAAAATTTTAAAAAATCATAATCCAAAAATTTCTAAAATCTTCAAAAAATTTTAATTGTTTGGCGATTTTAAAAATTTTGATAATTTTTTAGTTTTTTATTTTGATTTTTTGATTTTTTTGTGTTTAGAAAAAGAACAAGGAGAACCAATGCTCGAGGATAACGACATTGACGACCCATTGTCACCCGAAAAAAACGAACAATCAAACACGATCGCGTTCCAACTATTGTCGCTATTCAGCGGCGAACTGAACCCTGTGGCACCCAAGGCGCAGAAGAAGGTGCCCATACCCGAAGGGTAAGTGTGCGCACTATCAATTTTTATGCGTTTTTACAGCATGCGTTGTTTATTCATAATAGGCTGGATTTGGACGCTTGGATCAACGAACCCCTTGAAGAGAGCGATTCCGAGAGCGAGCCGGAGATGACCGAAAATTTGTTCGTCAAAACCGACAAGTACGGTTACGGGGACAAGGAGAAATACCAGCCGGAACCTACGGAAGACGAAATCAAGAAGGTACCTATACATTAATTTTGTGAAAACGCATTTTTTATCGTATTTTTTAGAGTCGCGAGGCTAGGAAATACGAGCAGCAAAACAACCCGCACTACCTTAAAGGCAGTTCTCTGGAGAAAAACGAAGATCAGTTGGAAAATTTCGACTCCATTCCGGTGACGGAACTTAATCTGAACGTGCCTTTAAAGGTGATGGGGCAGAAACGTTCGGACAAATATCTGAACATGTCGGGGGATAAAAAGGAGAAGAAAACCAAGAAGAAGGGCAAGAAGAAGAAACGGAAATCCGAGAGGTAAGGAAATAAAGCGTTTTTAAAATATTTTATCCTTTGATTTTTTTTTATTACTATAATTATTATAGATGTCGCTTTATACAAATATTTAATTTAAATTATTTATTAGATAATATTGAGTATTTGTCCTAGAAAAAGTATAGTTTATAAACTTTTCTAAATTAAATTCGTGACTAATGGCGTTTATCAAACTTGATACATAATATACTATTAGAGGTTTTAAAATGTTATAAATTTTGAAATTTTTTTAAATTTTGTTAATTTTAGAAATTTAAAATAAAATTAAACAAACACATTTTGTACATTTTGAATATATTTGAAATCAAATCGATTATTAAAAATATAGAATGTTTTAAGTTTTTAGAAATTTTCAAAATATTAATAGTTTTGGAAGTTTTTGAAACCAAATCGATTTTGAAAACTTTGTTAATTTTCTGGAGATTTAAATTTTTTGGAAATTAATTTTTCTAAATTTTGTACGTTTTGAAATTTTTGGAGATTTTGGATATATTCAAATTTTTTTGATTTTTTTATATTTTTAAAATCAAATCGATTTTGAAAATTTTGGAGATTTTGAAATTATCGGAAATTTCGTAAATTTTTTAAAAGTTAAAATTTGTGGAGATTTTAAAATTTATGGAAATTTTGAATTTTGGTATAGAAATTTATAAATTTTTGGTGATTTTGTAAAATTTGGGTATTTAATGGTTATAAATTTTCGTAAATTTTTATAATTTTAGAAACTTGAAATAAAATACATCTTACAAACAGAATATATTCTAATTTTTGGGTATTTTAAAAATTTTGGGAATATAAATCTTGAATATTTCGATAATTTTGGAGATTTTAATTTTTATAAATTTTAAATATGTTCGAATTTTGAAATTTTTGATAATTTTGGAAATTTTAAATGTATTTTAGAAATTTTTTGGAGATTTTAGAAATTTTGAAAATTGGAAATTTTATAAATTTTTGTGAATTCACAAAATTTAAAGAAATATTAATTCAAAATTTATAAATTCTTTGAAAAATTTAAAATTTTAGTTTTTTGGGGATTTTAAAAATGTTTTTTGAAAAGTTGAAATATTATCATTTAATTCGTACATAATATACTTTTAGAGATTTTAAAATATTTAAATTTTGTTAATTTTAAAATTTTTGGAGATTTTGAAATTTTTAAATATTTTCATAATTTTGGAAATTTTAAATATTTTAGAGGTTTTATAATTTTTTGGAGATTTTGAAGATTTGAAGATTTTTTAAAATTTTGTAAATTTTGAAAATGTTGAAATTTAAATTTTGGAAGTTTTATAAATTTGGGAAATTTTATAAACTTTACCTATTTGAAATTATTGTAGATTTTTGAAAATATTGTCATTTTTGAAAATTTTTGAGATTTTAAAATTTTATAAATTTTGGAGTTTTTGGAGATTATAAAAATTGTAATAAAATCAAAATACTTAAAACTTGGTGGCTTTGTATTTTTGACAGCTGTCAATTTAATGGCATTGTCAAAAAAATTCTAGGCCTTCTAGATTTTGAGCAACAACAGTCAACTTTTCAATTTCTATTGGTTTATATTGGTTTTTGACACTAACAGAAAAAATTAGATTTTAATTTTGTAAATTTTAAAATTTTTGGAGATATAGAAATTTTCTGATAATATTGGAGATTTTAAATATTTTAGAGATTTTAAAATTTTATAAATTTTTCTAGATTTTACAAATTTTAATGGAAATTTATATTTTGGAAATTTTATAAATTTTGTAAGTTTTATAAACTTAGGTTATTTGAAACTTGGTGGCTTTGTATTTTTGAGATCTGTCAATTTAATAAACTCTAGGCCTTCTAGATATTGAGCACCGACAGTCATGTTTTCAGTTTCTATTGGTGTATATTGGATTTTGACAATAACAGAGAAAAATTAGCTTTTTAGATTTAAATATCTAATATCTAGTAGTATTGTGATCTAATTATGAAATTTTTCGAGATTTTGTAAATTTTGGAGTTTAATTTAAAATTTTGTATGGATATTTGGAAATTTTAATTTTTGGATTTAAATTTCGTAATTTTCAAAAATTTTATCAGAAATTTTATAAAAAAATTCTAGGCCTTCTAGATTTCGAGCAATGACAGTGATCTATTCAATTTCTTATATTGGTTTTTGATACTAATAGAGAAAAAAATAGCTTTTTTTAATATTTTGGATGTATATACAGGGTGTTATGTAATTAATGTAATATATTAAAATACTGAATACCTTTTGACATAAGGTGTAACGGAAAAATATTTAAAAACATATTTTCCCAAAGATAAAGAAAAAATATGCATTACAAGTTTTTTATATTTTGTTCTGTGAGTACATTGATACTAACCAACAAAGTAGCTGCGCATTGCCAGTTGTAAAAAATTGTTATTACAAATTTTTCTTGCAAAAAAATAAACAAAAAATTTGCTAAAATTTCACTTCACAACTTTCTCTCAGTTCTTCCGACGAAAATGCAGACGTCGGGCCTTCGGTGGAAGTAAAAAGAGATCTGGAGCTACCAGAGGGCGCCACATTATCAGATTCCGACTCAGACAGGGGCAACAAGGACGATCCCCATAGAGCCCTGGATATAGATCTTGAACTGTACGTGTTTTTAACGTTTTAAATGCGGTTTTGTAGAATGTAATTTTTTTAGTCCTGCTGCTTACGATTTCAACGCTAAACCTGCCAAGGACTCGGTAAAGGGAAAATCAGAAAAAAAAGAAAAGAAAAAGTCAAAGAAGAAGGTACAGTAAGAGTATTTCTTTAACAAACCAATGGGGTAGTTACATTTTTTCTGACCTATACTTTGTATGGTTTTATTCAAGGCGTTTTGTAATATTAAACATTTCTGTGAAATCGGAATTTCAATTGAGTTTACCGTTTTCGAGATATTTACAAAAAAAATTAAACCTCGCCATGTGACCAACATTCTAAGATTTCTATTGGTTGAAAATTACCCTGTTGTCAAGTTGTCTTGTTAATGATTTCATTCGGTTATGTCAGAAAATACCCGAAGAGGTTATGTACAAATACTGTCACTGTCAGTTGAGTGAAAGATGGTCACCAAATTCATTAAGTACCTATCTTCCTTATTACGAGGTATCATATTACTGTTTGATATTTTAGAGTCCAAGATATATCTAAAATAATATAAAGAACTAGGCATTATACTAATCAAATGCATTTACGACAAAATATGATTATAATTATAGGTACTTACTTTATTTGTTTAAAAGCTCCAATGTTCAATGTAACCAACCATTCCACAAGATTCCTCTGCTTTGGAGTGCGTTATTAATAAATCACTTATCTAATATCAATTACAAATAACATAACAATAACATTGATTTTCAATAATCTAAATTTAAAAAAAACATAACCCCAAAAAAAGAAACGTCAAAAAATCAATTCTTCTTCTTCTCAACTAAAATTATAGATCAAGTGGTTTTAAAACTAAAATATTATAACGTGGCGCCATCTATCGTAAGAATCTTAAACTAAACACACTGGCAACCATAGAAAAAGCTGGCAACGTTGTCAATAGCCTAGTGACGTAATTAGGAGATTTTTTTTTTTGTAAATATCTTAAAAACGGTAAAGTCAATTGAAATTCCGATTTCACAGAAATGTTTAAAATTACAAAACGCCTTGAATAAAACCATAAAAAGTATAGGTCAGAAAAAATTTAACTACCCCATTGACAATATATTTTAAGGATGAAAAGGGTAAAGACAAGAAGAAATCGCATAAACACAGAACGGAAGACATGTTGCAAATGGGGGAAACCCCCAAACCTGAAGAGAAAAAGGCGAAAAAGCACAAGAAAGAAAAAAAGGAGAAAAAGGAAAAAGAAGGTAATTAGTAGATACACAAAAGTAGCCCATATTATTTAAAATAGGTAATTATTATTTTTATTTTGTGTTTTTTTTGAACTTTTAAACAAATACTAATCGACTATTATTTTTTAGGAAAGACCAAGTTAAAAAAATCCAGTTCTGGCTATGAAGAAGCCATTGGTATTTCCACCCCAAGTAAAGAATTTGTTTAATATTTTTATTGTAACAAATTGTTTATTTTATTTTCTCATGCTCTTGTTATTTATCCAAATCATATATTAATTATCTCAAATATAGGGTGAAGTCAATATGTAGGTACTAAATAAGTCCAAAAACAAATTATTATTATTATTTAGATTGTTTGTTAATTAAATGTATATAGCAATTTTTTATATTTTTTGAGCTTTGATTAATTTAATAATAAGTAATGTATGCAAATGTATATTGTTTATAAATAAAAGATAAAAATATATTGTTACATAATTACAATAATTGCGTTATTTATGTGTTTTTTATAGTTAATTATCAGAATAAAAAATTCTTAAAATTAATAATTTATTTGTGCACCAAAATGAATTATATTAATTACTTTTGATAATAGGTACTATCTTAAGCAGGAATTCTATATAAAGAATAAATTTCTTGGAAATAATGTTTTTATAACCTTTATAAATGATAAAAAACTTATTACTTGCTTTAAATAAACATTACTTTAAAGAAGTTTTTTGGGGGGGAACTTTATGGCGTTTTAGTCACAGGTTGAAGTTATTAATAGTGGATTTTGGTCATTTTAGTAACGGGCTGAAGTTGGCTTTATTATAAATTGCGAAAAAGTAACCTCACAATTCATTAAATGTCAAATATTTAACAATTAAAATTGACTTTTATTTGTGTTCGTCGTAGATAAAGTATAGTTTTTATTAAACACTCGCTCGCAAGCTTCGCTTGATACAAAATGTACTATTAAACAAAAAAATTGGAGATTTAAATTATCCACATAAATGTTATGTTGTTTTTATATTTTTCAAATCAATTTAACATTAATTAATTAAAAAAAAAATCATAAAAACATTTTTCTTTTCCTGGAAGCATTGTCGCCACATTTCTAGCAATCGACTGTACTCGGAAACTTAAAACTTTTTATATTTTTGTAGATAATTTTGAGACAAACAACCTTTTTATTTAGCATTTTTAGTTTTGATCAACATGGTCAAAATGATTTTCAAAAATAAATAAATAAAATCTGACATCTGTCAAATGGTTAACCTTACTTTTTACCATTTTTAAATATAATTATAGTCGCCTTCCTTCAATTTAAAACCCGATTGGTTCAAATCACAGTGAATATTGAAATCGGCCAATCACTGATGCCTAACAACGTGAATAATGAGTTTATTGTACTTGTACTTTGGAATCTCTGGTGTAGGCAACATGTGCATGGCCCTGTAAGTATTCTTTAGTTTAGAGTTCAATAACACTGTTTTTTTGGTAACTTTAATATGCCAGTTTGATTTGGTATTTTTAGTATTTAAAAAATGGTACTGCTGAAGACCTTAATTCAATTATTATCCGCTAGGAATACTTTGTCCCTCCTGGGCCGTAGTCACCTATATTTAACTACTTTTTTATATGATTTTACTTATCTACGTAAATACCAACCAAAACCCTAAATTTGCAACGTTGCCGCAGTCCAAATAAAAAAATGAAGTTTATGTATCTTATTTTCTATAACATTGTTTTTATATCCTAATTCATAAATAATTATATTAAATTATATGATATAATATGATATGATATGATATGATATGGATATAATTTATATCCACCTATACAACTAATTAACGATGAATCCTTGACAGAAAACTAAATTTAAAAAATTACCTTTCAATTTTCAACAATATCTTTGATACGTTTATCCTTGTGCAGTTTTTTTACTCAATTAACGTGTATTATTCTATTAATAAAAACAATAATAAAATACATTGTGATTTTATATGTACAAGTTAATTGTTTATTTAATTATTACTATTTTTATGAGTACATGGGAAAAAACTGAATGGTGAATGGATTGCATACTATCCCTGCACCTCCACCATTTTTGAAACAAAACCATACGTCAAACTATAAATTTATCCGGTTCGATAATTGAATTAAAATTTATTATTATAAATTTTATTGACTAAATATTAATATTTTTTTTTATTATTTCCCTCATTATAATATGAACCAATCAAAAGCCTTGAATTTTCGAATAAATTTCGTTTAAATAAGCGATTAAATCACCAGAACTATTTAACAGCGATTAAATTTTAGCCTCCATATTGGATTTTTGTTTACGATTTTATGGTGTTATTTACAAGTTTTAACAAACATTTTTTAAAAAACAATAAAAAATAAGTTATCTAGTTTACTAAATATCAATTATTACTTATTAAATACCTTAAATTAATGGAATTTTCTTTAAAAAAATATTTATAAATTTTGACACATACGTCAGATTTTATGAATTGTCAAATAGTTTCCTTTAATTCGAGAAATAATCTAGACGTATATCACTCAACCCACAATCCACACATGTTGTGTGGATTGTGACTCAACCTATGAATTTAATCGGTTAAACTAGGCTCATTAGTTTTTTGTTTGGTTTTTAATGCAAAATAGTTTCATGCAAAATAATTAAAAATAAAACCCCTCGACCGCTACGCGGTCTCGTGATTTTATTAAATTATTTTGCATTCAACATTTTCCAACAAAAACCAAACAAAAACCACTGAGCCTAGTTTAACCGATTAAATTCATAGTTCTCGTGATATAATATATGATTATTTTTAAAAATGTATCAAATATAACCTCAAACAAATTTTTGACGAGTAGATTTTTAGTTATAACTTGTTATAACATTTTTTGTATTTTTTATTGCAGCAAATTGATAATTAAAATTAATTTAAGTAAAGTTAATTTTAGGCAGCAGGAGCTTTAAAACTTCGCAGAGCTTTTGCCTTCTCCCTCCCCTTCGGCCAAGCAAAGCGCGTTCGACAAAACGATCTCAGCACGCGTTGATCAACTTAGTTCTATCGAAGCAGGCCTGGCGCGGCTCTCGGCAACAAGTGGCAAATTGTTGAGTGCGGCGGTTATTTCGAATTTTGAGTTTTATTTCGTACGTTTTGCTTGGATTAATTTCCCGTTTATTTATCGCGGTAAGTAACATTATTATTATATACCTACATCAGAATCTAGTTGATTTAACCTTTGACAGTAAATCTGACAAGGGTGGAAATTTTGACAGATAAATTTTCGAGTACATTTCGCCGTATTTATTTTATTATTCAGTGCGTATAATACCTAATCTAGTAGGCTTTATTTGATTTAATTTTTGACAGTAATTCTGACAGGGGTGGTAATTTTGACAGTTGAATTATCAAGTAGATTTCGGCGGTATTTATTGTTCAGTGCGTTGTAATACCGAATTATTAGGCTACGGTTTTTAATATCATCAATTAATTTGCTGATTTGATGAATAAAATCGGCAAAGTAATAATATTTTGAGTTATAGATTAATATATTTAAATTTGCAGTAGGTATGTACTTAATTTGATCAAGTTACCTAACGTTTTTTTTGACAGACACTAATTTGACAGCATTTAGTTTAGTGAAAATGTTGCTAAAAGTAGGTGGTTAATACAGAGTGTTTTAGAAATGTTTGGAATACTTGGGTAAGTGTAGACATTTGTAAATAATAAACGTAAAAAATGCAAATTACAGTTCATTTTAATTACCAGAACTAAAAACTTTATAGCCGCATAATTAACCATGAAACATAAAACAATTTTGTGAAGAGGAAAATAGATTTTCAATTTCGTCTTCAGTACCCAACAAACATTTCCGGAATTCATTGGCAGGTTAAAATTTAAACGTAATAATTAAAACCAAAATAATCTTGTTAAAAGTTAAATGTTAATTAGTTAAAACTGGTAATTTATTGCACAAAATATAAAACATCGTCTGGATTCATTTTTACGAAATTATAATAAATTAGCTTGTCATTTTTTATGTTGTTTAAATATTTTAACATTTAGGTACCTGATTTTTATTTATTGTTTAATTTTTGGAAAAGTTCCTTAATTGGGATTTGAGTGATAAACATTGACAAGCTGAAGTTAGCTATAAGTTGATTGACAGTTGTCAAATCTTTTGTATAGATTTTGCTCTAAGTATACAAATATATAATTTAAATCGTGACTAAAATAGCGATTATCAAACTCGATAAATAATATAATATTATGTAAAGAACCGACTACTAACTTGGTCAATAAAAATTCAATGTCAAATGTTGTGCAAAAGTAGCTTCCTAAATGAATGTAAATATGTATTTTCGGGTTTTTTAATTTGCATAAGTTTATTTTATTCAAAACCGCTGATATATAGGGTGAGTCATATAACTTAAAACTTTGAATTATCTCAGTTACGAAAAAATGTTTAAAATAAAAATTAAATGATTAGAGGGGTGAAATCGATCAGTACTAAAATTGGTCCTCATACTCTCCTCCTTATAGGGGGAACAGGGGGTAACTTTAAAATTTCCTATTTTTTATTGCAGATTTTTTCACGATTTAAATTAACGAAAAGGCGACGTAAAGATAGGTACCTATGAATGTTTGTGATTGGTGGAGAGAGAAAGAAAGATTCAAAATAGTTGCGACGTGTAAACAAATACTAAAAGAAGCAAAACCATCAGCTGTAGACGATAATAACCTTAAACAAATTAAAGGCAGGTTTCTTGTTTACCCACTGCTAATTAAAGAGTTGTAAGCAAATTAAGAAGCACGCGATTTTTACTACCTGTTTGTTAAATGCTTTTTCACAAAATTCCAGGATGTTGTACCTCTGTAATAATGCTGTTTAAATTTGTTACGTGTAAAGTGGAATATTTTTTTTATTTTAATAAAAAAAATACCTACACGTGTTAATCTATAGCCATAAAATGCTACGCCAGACTGAGGTGACACACTTATAAAAAAATCCAATTATCGATATTCCGGGAAAGGAATAGAAAACTGCCCATTCCACGAATACAAACGTTTTACTTTTTTGTTTTGTTTTTATCAGCGCATTCTACACATGTCAGTGTTGTAAGACTTGAATTTCATTCATGAAAACCGGCTTGTGATAATAAATGTTCAAGCAAATATTCTTTTCAACAATTTTAGTAAACTGTTTTAAAAATTATTTTCTGTAATTATTTTAACGAAGGAAAATATTTTACCAAAAGTTTTGTAAAGGTAATATGCAGTTCCAGTTTGATTTTTTTTACGTATAGATTATAAAAAGCTGCAGTTGATAAAAATCCATCGATAAATGGCGAATTTTGAATTTTTCAGTGGAAGAGCAAAATTCAGTTTTTTGAGAATTTTTACGCTTTTTCTTCATTTTATTGAGTATTGAACAATAAATATTGAACATATTGAAAGTTTTATTTTGTTTTAATAATCATAGTTTTAAAAAAATTCTGGCTCCTTCTTTGTTCTTTGTTGCTTTCGTATTCCGTTTCTCGTATGAGGGACCAAATCATGGCTGCATCCCAGAAGCCGTGATACCGCCGCTCCATAGCCTTTATTTGCTGGTGAAAACGTTCTCCGTGCTCATCACTTACGTCGCCCAGATTGTGCGGGTTATTTACGCACTCGAACTCTCTACTTTTTTTACTCATTTTACACTTTTTATTAACTTAATAAAACCTTGATAAAAATACCTTGTTGAAATATCAAAAAAATAACAGTAAAATGTCACTATGCCAACACGAAAAACAAAAGAATTTACGTTTGCGGAGTCAAATTTAAATTTTGAATAATGTTTTCTATGAAAAAAGTATACTATATTACGTATACGTAAAAAACTCAAAAAATTCCAATCATGCACTTTACTTAGGTTTTCATTAAAGAATAAACATATTACAAAATAAAAGATCAAAATAAAATAAAAATCGTCAAAAAGCTGAATTTCGGTATTCCACTAAAAATTCATAACTTCGCCATTTTTCCATGTATTTTTATCAACATTAGCTTGTTTATTTTGTAAAAATGTCAGCTTCACGAAAAAAAATTCAAACTGGAGTTATATGTTTGATTTAAACCCTTCCCAGGACGATATGTAAATTTTCGACTCAATTTTTGCCATAAAAACGAATTTAAAGTTATTAAAATCGCTAGCGTCAAAATACTTATCCGATATTAAAAGTGTGTAAAAGGAAGTTTTAGAGGGCTCAAATACCTTCAATTTAAGGGCTTGTTTGACCAAATCGATCAATTAGATTTCAAGCTATACTCAAAAACGTCAAAACACCTCCGAAAATTGAAAATTCATATTTTAAAAACGCTTTCATAAAAAAAATTGAAACTAAATAATTATTTGTGTTTTGATCGTTGTAACAATCTGTTATGAGTTAAAAAGTATAAAAGCATTTGCTTACCTTGACTTTGACTTTAAAAGATCTTATCTGATTATTTCGCACGATATCTTTAGATGCAGAATGTTCAAAAAATTATTTTCATGTTTTTTTTAATTCAATAATGTTAGTATACATAATCGATTCAGTGGACAATTGCCAAACATCTGGATTTTTATTGCAAATATTGGGATAGTAAATTTTATTTTTGAAGTTGAATTATGATTTTTTTATTTTTATATCGACGTAAGCCAGACTTAGAAACATAATATAATCCGTTATGTTTGAAATGAAATTACACCAAAAATATTAATTCGTGATCTAAAATATCTATCAACGGTTGTGCTACCTCTACACTGAAAAAAATAATCAAGGCAAGCAATTTCTTGGTACAAGAACCAAAAATATTTTACTTTTTCAAACAGTTTCTGACATATCTGTGTTTTCTAAATTTGAATGCAAGGGAAGTGACGAGTATACCAGGCTACTAATTAAATACATAATTTATTGCAAAATATAAGATTTATTGCAACTTTGAGCATATTATACATTAAATATCTTAAAACCAAATAATACCACACATCAGTGGCGGCTGGTGGATTTTGGGTATACCGATATCTCAATTATTAGATAAGATACCCACACCACATTTATATGAGTTTATAATGACATTAAATAAAAAAGTTGTGCGTAAGCAGAATTTAAATTAAAGTTTTCGAAAAAAAGATAACCGAAACATTGAACATGCAACTGACGACACGGTACTGATGAATGGGATACAAATTTGAGATTATAATTCGGAATTAAGTATTTTACTGATATTTTTTATTAGTGGATGCTACTTATCAACAAATCACATATAGCCTTATATAAATTACAATAAAATATATATACGTAAGAAAATAACTACTCACCACAGTACTGAAATTTTGACTGGAACTATACGTGCATTCACCACAACTTTGCCGCTTGCATTGTTCAAGATGACTGTCTTGCCAAGGGCGGGCTCTTTAGGTAATTTTTTACCAACACTTGACGTTTAAACTTCAATATTTCGCAGGAATTTTGAATTTTAACATTGGACACAGAACTGACGGGTAAAAGTGAGTACAAAGATTATCATTTTTTTTAAATTGCTATTATTCGAATCTATGATAAAATATGAAATGAAAATTATTTAATGTTTTATAGTTTGTAGTGAAATTGAAAAATTTAAGATAAATTGAATATATTTTAAAATAAAACCACTGAAATATTTGATGCAGGTATTTTGACACGCCAAGGTACTGATGTTTTGAATATTTATTATGTTTTTCTACATATTTTAAGTCCCCATTTAATCAAACTAATTAATTGATTCATTGGCGATTTAACAAGTTAGATTAAAAACCACTTTCCGGTACCTACCGAAACAAGTTTTTTTTCGTTTATTAATTACCTACGTCTGAATTTCGTCCGGCTTGTGGTGAATAAAGATGAATTCTCGAAAGTGATCATGCCTCTGTAAATATTTTAATAACAATTTTAGCCAAAACAGGTTTTTGGCTGTTCGAAGGAATTCTTCATTAATTGATTAATAAATAATAAAAAACACGATCTTTCTTGTTAAAAATTTGGTATTCCGGAATGGCCAATTATCTTCATCAAAATATTAATAAGTGATTTTTAAATTTTATCATTCAAGAACTTAAATTTTATATCATTTAAACTTTATAAAGCAGAAAATCGGTACTTAACTTAAATTTCAATTTAACC